GTGGGTGTGTAAACAATAGCAACCCATCCCCCTCCACGCTAATTACCAGACAAACCATGGTCAGGTCTTGACTCCAAATTCCCTAGTTTTGGGATATCTTTTTGAGGCACACACTGACACTTTTTTCACCTCCACTTGCAACCTTTGACAACGAATTATATTTTCTTTGTGACTTGTGTATCTATTACTGTAGCCCCTGGACTCTATCTTTCTCAGGTAAGCCAGCTGAATTCCATGGAAAAAATTCTTTTCAACCACTTGGCTATCCTTTAAAATATAACTTAAAATCCTATTGGTAGTTAACTTTACAAATTTTACAATTAAACTGGAGCATTTATCCTAATGTCTCAAATTATCCTAATGTCTCTCGGAACGAAGGTCCTTCAAAGATCTTTATTTTTCAGAAATCTTAAATGGGGTTTCATTTTTCCAATGTTTTGACTAGGGGTTGATTTTATTCACTCAGTGTTTAATTTTTGATCGATCAGAAATATTTGTTCTGTTTCTAATAAACGTTGAAGATGTGATTAAGCACCAAATGTATTTTTGATCTGCAGGCCAAGAAAGGAAGTGATGACGAGTATGATGAGGGTCTGTGTTGAACAACTCAAGGTCAACATAGTTCAAGGTCATCGGATCTCAAGTTCGGCAAACAGATGATGCATCAACACAACTCTTCACTCCACCTCTGGTTTTACCATTCTCTTTGCGAATACACATGGTTCGTCACATACAATCTATAGGCAGTTTCATTATTAAGCTTCTTGTTATTCAATTTTGTGGTCAGGTTTTTTTCTATGTGAAATAGTTTAGCTTGTTTACTTAAGAAAATTAGACCTACAAAAGTATAGCTACAAACAAATTGTCGTATAACATGACACTAACGCTCCTTTCACAATATACAATTTTGCTTGTACGATTATTAATCTGATTTGTAGTCGACCGTTGTAGCTTATGGCTTCTTTCAGGTTATAAGATTACCAATCGTATACGATTTTCACCCGCATAGCGACCGTAGGGGACCACTGCAGGTATCCGACTCACCTGCATGGGGTAGATGCATCCAGTGGAGACGGGCGCGTTTCTTTCTTTTCCTCCGCCAGTATATTATCAAAGCAGCAATAATTTGCTCGCAATCCATACTACTCAACACTCTCCAATGAAGTGTCAATGAACTCTGTTCCGGTGGAGTGGGAGGTTCTGATTTTTTAATCGTCCGATTCGATTACAAATCAGATAGTGTGAAAACAACTGACCCACGATGGTCTGCCCTTAAGATTAACAATCGTATGAGTAAAATCGTATAGTGTGAAAGGAGCATAATTCCTCACCAATATAATCTGAGAAATTTTTCCCTTGGACGGAATATCACTAAGACCCTGGACTCAAAAAATAAACTAGCCGAACTCATTTTGGAAAAAAAATTCTTATCTGCCACATTGCTCTAAAAAGAATGTCTTATTTAACATTTTTTATTTTATAAATATTTTGTGATAGTTTTGTATTTTGTATTGTTGTGCTTATTTTATAGCTTTTAACTATGTTATTTTTAGTATGGAAATTTGTCATAGAAAATATCACATTTTTATATTAATTGGTTGTTTGTTAAGTTCCAAGTGCCAGAAATATTTTTTTAAGCATTGTATTATTAAACACATTTAAATAAAAATCTAGTTTGATTTTATTCTAGACTATTATAGGCCATAGGGTCAACCATAATACATTCTTTAGTCCAGGAAATGCCAATTATTGTAAACATCAAAGTTGGCCTATATAATTTTTTTTGTTACACTATATTTTTTGTAGATTGCATTGCTTCTACGGTACTAATTTAGTAATTTAAAATGCCGAAAACTAACGACGATATTTCTGATGTTGATGTGTCATCTTAGTATTGAAGTCTAGTCTGTGAATATTTTAACTTGTTCATACATTCCTTTAAATGTTTATAGGTTGTTATTCCTTGTATGATAAGTAGACATTTTAAGCTACTTAAACAGTCGTTAACTGCTTTTCAAGTTGTATATTGAGCTAAAAAATTCCACTTGTAAAATTTTATAGATTACATAGCTGTTTTATTCACATTTTACCTCATACAAATTCTCTCGTCTTTGTAGTAACAACATCCGCAGACAGTCAGAATCGCGTTTAGTATTGTTTGGAAAACTACAATAATATTGTTAAAAAGTCAATTTATAACTGTTATTACAATAATCGGTTCCTTGTTGAATAGCTGTCACTTAAATTCTCTTCCTTATGGTTAACATCGTTAAGTCCTTTTGGCAGCCCTATAGGCATTTTCGAAGTTAACCCATAAATTTTCTTGTATAAGATTAATATTCAAGAAATGTGCAATTTTACTTTGCGTTTGCATACTATAGTATTATTTAGTTTTGTTTTTTTAAGAAAGATATTTTTGATCTCACGTTGTGTATTTTGTTTCATTTTGCAATTTATACTTAAAATTAAGATTATAGGTGTATTTTTATAAATAAAGTGGTATTGGTAGCCTGTGTTTTTTAAGCATGCAGTTAAATAAAAAACAATTGGAATTTTCTTAGCAGATGTAAGTTAGAATGTGATTAATAAGACGGTACTTGTACTCCGTTGGTAATCGTGACATTGTCGTGAAAAAAGGGGGTTCTTGTGTACCTACAGGAATTTAGCTTTTGTTGTTTAAAAAATTAAAATGCTTTGGCAAAAAAAGATGGAGCTGATCTAGTAGTTAAAGAAAAGGACTTTTATCATGGAAGGCTATAATCAAACCGATATATAGTATATATAGTCTATGCTTTTGGCTATACCTAATTCACCAGATATAGGTCCACCTCTCTAGAAAATCAAAAAGGTTAGATATTTTACGTGAATTTTCTTTGACGAGAACTCCCTTTGAAAGCGAAACTATCATATTTTTATCATAAGAAACTGCACCGATTTAGAACTATTTAACATATCTATGACTGAACATAATAATTTATAACCTATTTTTAGCCACTGTTTTTACATTTTGATCTGTTTTAAACAGAAAGGGTGGTTTTAAGCTATAAGTTACAGATATTTCTTGTAACTACACTAAATCTAAAATAAAACTGTAACTGACTGCTGGGTATGAAATTATATTCTCTTTAATTATGTCTCTTACTTTTGTGTTCAGTTTTTCATTCAAAGAAATAGTGAAAATTGTACAACAATGAAAAGTTTACACATCACCTTTCAAACCTGACGCAATATCATCAGAGTCTTTTTACTACAATTTCAGATTCAGCTAGAAGACAATTTTCACCAGTAGAATAATTCTTAATGAAGTATTGTCCAAAGGAACTATGAAATAGTAAATTTATATTGATTCAAAATTTATTAAATAAATTCGTGGCCATGTGAATGATATTCTGGTTTTGATTCCCATTAATCGATTACAAACGTTAGTGGTACAGCTAGCAAAACATAGACTATACTATGTATTTAGTATGAAAATGCTTGAATGAGTTTATCATTTCCCGTACTGTTTTGATCTACTTTGTCACACATTCAATAGAGTTATTAGCTGTGTATATTGCAAGTAAATAATTGTGCTAACATGGTTTTGAATTTTGATCATAGTATTATGATATTTTGTACTCATACGATTTGAACGATATTACTGTTAAAGAACTGACTGTTATTGAGTACTTTTTTTGTTTCTTTCTTGCTTAAAACTGTATGTTTTCTGTTAATAAAATAAATAACTATCCTGTTATAACTGTTCAAATTCATTTGTTTCTCCAAAAATTATTTGTGTAACTACAATCATTTACTGTATCTGTAAACTGGCAATATTTTGATCTCAATTTGAGTTTGGCAACCAGTGTTCCAAATGCTACCTTTATACAGCCGTAGAATAATATCACATAGGTTTGATATGGATTGGAGTTGACTAAAATTAATCCTAAATCCTTATTATTTCATAAGAAACAACCATAAAGAGTTTTATACGGTATTTAAAAGTAGCCTTAGCTAAGAAGCTTTTAGTTATAACAAAATTATAATTTATTTTCATAAACATTACAAAATAAATTTCAACCAGAAAAATAGTTTGGAATCAGAATTTATTTTTAATTTAAGTGTCAAGAACATCTTCCGCGGTCACGACAAAATCGTGAGCATCTTCGGTCACAGCAAACGTCATCATCGTCTCCACAGTAAGACAAGACTATGTAGTGTGAACATCACACGTGTTGGAGGAATAAATTGTCAATTCTCAATGGCACATTGTCACAGGCGCTTTTTATCACTACACTCATTTCCATTCATACTTGGCTTAAAAATACCTACTTTGGTCGCCATTTCAATGTAAAATAAATGCTCGAGTCGGGTCTATCCAACCTGAGTTTTGGGCGAAAATTATTTCGGTACCCTAACAGATTCATCAGGACAACGGTTAGCCGACTGACTCGACCCAACAATATCAGGGACCCTTACACACCTACCAAGAACTAGAACAGCTTGATGAGGGTTACTTCAAAGTTGTGAACCTATCTATTATGTTACATATTTTACTTATATTGCGTGTTAAAAATGACACTGTTCTGTTTGTGTATGTAATGTAAGGACAATAAATTATTAAAATCCAATGCTTAATACAACAGTACTATTTAGTTTTTACATTACTTCGAGCTAAAACTAAATGTATCCTATCCACTTTGATCAAATCCATTGGTGATTGACGGGATTCAAACTCAGGACCTCGAGGACCGAAATCCCACGCTCTACCACTAGACCAGCATGCCCCATTTCATTTGCATATTAACTACCTACTCTATTACTGAAACCACTTGACTATAATCAATGCTGAAACTTATAGTGTGGCTACATGTTAACTTAACCAAGCCAGCTTTTAAGCGAACTACTAGAATAGAAAAAGAAGAAGAAACTAAGTTGTCAGTCACAAAGTCAAAGCATAGACAAAAAGAATTAAATAGTCAAAGAGTCAAAGTGAAGTGAAGTAGACTGTTGTTGTAGACTGTTGACTTCGACTGTCATCGTCATCGTCATCGAGTCGAGTGTCACTGTCAAAATGTCTAACCTTCATCTGCAATAACCTCTTCAGAATCTTCATTAGAACTTCCAACAATTGAGAATTGGCTGTCAAAACACGACGGAATCCATAGAATATTATATTTTTATGAACTTTCAAAATCCCGTCGAGATGAAGTTATACTTTTCTGAAATCAGCATACAGTTTCAGATCAGTCGGATGTTTTACTCTGCTGTTTAAATGAAGTATGGCCTAAATTAACACCAAAAATAGAGAAATCATTTTTCAGTGTGAAAAATATATTTCTTCGTCTACGAATAGGCCTATCCTCAAAATTATCATATTACCATGGCTGAGTGTGAATCCCCTGTGAAGGAAAATTTAGAGGCTAGCCCTGAAGATATCAGTGAAACTGGTTTGAATGTAGTAGATAAACCTTCAGATGTCTCAAAATCGTCAAAAATAGAAAAAAGTAAGTAACGTAAGCTGGCATTTTTGGTCATGGATAATGAACAAGTGAGCAAAAGAGCTGTAATCACATTCATCCATAGGCCTAGACTCATCCTCCCTTAAAATATGCACCCTGGGGTGTGCCTTAAAACTGTAACTTAATAGGCCTAGGCCTATCTAGGCTAATTATAAATTTGATTAGATTTTAGTTAAACCACTTATACAGCATAAAATTATGCTACTACGCCAGGAAGTAAGTAGGTTTTTACAGTAGGCTTACGAGCATGCAAACGAACTGTAAACACCGTCACAGATGAGACGTTTATGATACTTTTTGCCTCAGTGAACAAATATAACTTAGGCTACATGGTTTAGGCTAAGTTTTAAGCCCCGTTCACACGGGGCGAGTTTACAAGCTACACGCCGGCTTTTTTACACGCAGCTAGTAAAATAGCTCAGTGTGAACGAAGTACTCGCTCAAAAGCTGCTTGTAAAAAGTTGACGCTGCCGCTACTTTACACGTCAACTCGCCAGCTTTTGAGCGAGTAGGCGTGTAAAGTAACCAGTGTGAACACAGTTGCTTGTGCTTGTGCGCATGTTATTCAAAGATGTCGGAGGATTTGGTTCAATCTAGCTACTGAGCAAGTGGAAAAAGCATCGTGTGAACGACTACAAGCGCACTCGCCGACTCGACGGCGTCTTTCTACACTTTGGCGAGTGGACAATCTCCGTGTGAACGAATACAAGCACACTCGCCAACTCGCCGGCTTCTTACATGCTGGCGAGTAGCTTGTAAACTCGCACCGTGTGAACGAGGCTTTACTGGTTTTACAAGATAAATACAACCCACATTAGGCCTGCATACAGTTCATAGAATCAAAGCATTGTGTAGCCTTACTAATTTTCTATCATTTTGCTACCTTGAAAAGATGGAATAACTCACTCCAACTCATAGCTGTTTTTGGAATCATCATGCATTCTGTAGTAAATAAATTCATAAATAACTTAATTTCAATAATCTTCACAATGGGGTCAATCAATCAAAGTGATTCACATTAAAATCAATGATATATTAGCATTGTTGCTGCTTGGCGAGCCTATTTCGCCTGGGGGATTACAAAATTGACTGGTTAATTTCCCTTACTCCAGCTGACTCTACCGGTCCTTTTCTTTAAAGAACAACTTACTGGGCTAAAAAAAGTATGCCTACAGAAAGCAGCTGCTTACTGTGTAGTACGGAGAAACCACAATTCTGGAGATGTTTACAATAGTAAAGGTGTTTGTTGTTGGCCAGGGTTAAGAATGATTTGGTGACAGATATATCTCTTGATGGGTTAGCCTCTGGATCAAGGTAATGCAAATATAAAAGGTTTAATTTACCTGTTGCGTCAATTGATCCTTAAGTTATGAAATAACTACGGCCGTTTCGTACTGCTAAACGAGTACATCTTCAGGTCATGAACGTTAAAATACGGCCTTCTCATCCATGGGTGGAGTCGTCAGCACATTTAGGACACATAACACGAACCGAACGAGATATATCTCTGCCCTACAGGCACTTATAAGGTGAGGTTGTAGTACAGGGTGTCCACATTCTGGAAAGTCAGGGATAGTCATGGAAAGTCATGGAAAAAAATTCTGGTCATTGAAAGTCATGGAAATATGCAAAAAGTCATGGAAAGTCATGGAAATCACCAATGATGGATGGATTTCAGTGGTCCTTTCAATAATCTAGTCAGCCGTAACCCCAACTATTGTAGCATTTTTCAGAATTTTTCACAAATAGGCTATACGACAATTCAATTTATACAGTTGTCTTTGTTTATGGGTTTTGAGTTTGTATTTAGTTCATTGTTGTACCTGTTGTACGCCATTGTTATCTGTTAATACGTATTTCAATATTTTCTGTCTAGGCAGTATTATTTGTGTGTTTACAGTATATTACAATTTTCGAGTAAAGTTCGTGAGTCATGGAAATCAATGGTTAATGGTCATGGATAGTCATGGAAAGTCAGGGAAATTAATGACACAATTTCTGTGGACACCCTGTAGTAGGTAGGTAAGTTAATCTGCGTTTGATCACAATCCAACCAAAGCCGACCACAGCTAATGGTTACTCTAGTGTCACAGGCTTGGCCCAGGGTTGCTGTTCAACAGTTTTACAATACTTTGTTCTAACAGTACTATTTAACCACCTCAGTTTTTATTAAATTATTCCAAGACAACAGTAACATTTCCATCGATCAAAAGAGTCTAATCCTATTGAATTTATAATAAAACTTATACCGGTAACTTATGTCCTTTTACAGTTGACATCCTCCTGAAACCTACAGCTAACGCACCAATAATGAAAAAGAAAAAGTGGTCTGTGGACCCAGATAAAAAGATTGGTATGGTTATAGAGTTCATCAAGAAATACCTGAAGCTGGATCCAGCAGAGACCTTGGTGGGTGGAAATTAATAGCATTTAATTTACTATTTAATATTAATAGTAGATAGGCCTAGCGTTAACATTATTATTGGGGACTGCAGTAATCTTATCCTCAACCGTTTGGAAAGAAACTACTGTATGTAGGTATGAAATCAGTTTATTCCCCTTGGGAGGACAGGATGCCTAGAGGTGTCGAATAATGTATGAGGGATATAATTATAATATTTATCTATATATCTAATTCCGTAAGCCCAAAATTTTACAATGAAATTGTGAGCGAACGGGAGGCCGTAGAAAGCTGGGAGAGGTCTCATTTTAAAGGTCTGGGCATGAAATTTTGGGGAAAATTGTTCATTTTTCTTAATTATGCACCAAAAGGTTGTTACGGAATAAAATAGTTCACATTTAACATGGGAATCTAATTTTATGTCTTTTTATTTAGTGTAAACACAGCTGTTATTATATAAATTGAAAAAATGATAACCACACCTGATTGGGCATTATTTTGTTATTGTAAAATTGTTAGTGAAGTAGTAAACAACAGAAATTGTAAATTAGATTAAATCTTTTGAACAAACAATTTGATACTTTTTAACTTAATACTTTACAATGTAGTGTTCTTTTGCTCAGTAATAATGTATAATGTCGGAAGAGGTAGGCCGCCACGCAGAGGTATTGTTCCTTGAAATGAGAACAACAGGCGCCAGATTTGGCACGGTATTAATGGAAGAAGAATAAATGAGCATCGGATGAACATGAAGTTCTTTCTGTGTATATATTGCCACTTTTAAATAAGATTGCATAACACAGCGTAGGACCAATGAACGATGGGTGCATTCATTGTGGTGCATTGCACAATTTAATTTGGCGAAATTGTGGAGCAGGGCAGAACCTTCACAAAAGTTGGCATTTATTTAAAAAGGCAGTGTTTGCCCATGGTCAACTTTATGCTGCGTTCAGCCGGGTGAAGCGGTCAGATAATGTTAAAATAGTACTAGAACCGAATAAAGACCAAGGAATCGACCAAAATGGATACCATACAACAAATGTTGTTTTCAGGGAGATTTTGTCATAGAATAAGCATTTTACAATTTGGATGATGACATTACCTCTGAGTGAAAATTTAAAAACGTACGTTTTCATGTCCCTGGCCTTTTACTTCGTAGATACTGGATTTGTAGTTTATTATTGTGTGTTTTAATATTTTTTGGGACGGGGGCAACATGTTACACACATTTATTTGGTTTTAAATAGGTTCTGGGTATTTTTTTCGTATTTTTAAAGTCTCTTAATTCACGACCGTAACGTGTCCCTAGGGTGCATTTTCCAACTTTCACGCTGTTTTTAGACTAATTATTCATGCCGAAATATATAAAGCCAAATTTTTATGTCATCAATGGTTATTAAACTTACAAAAAAGGAGCATATTATAATTTTATTGTCATTAAAAACTGACTACCATGACAAAATAAGTCTGTCCCTCGATTTAGCGTCACGACCATTTGGGAAAAATTTTCAACTTTGGAGCACGACAGTGGCAAGCCTGGCGTCGATGGAGTCAGTTGGTTTTAGAGACTAGTTCGGGGTGTATGTCAGGATTCTAGTGCCGGTCGTTTCGAGTTGAAAGGAGGAATTACAAGATTAATATAGGAAAGATTATGTTTTTTGTAATTTTGGTGTGTCCATGACCGTATGTAGTCATTCGATGAAGTAGACATGGTGTTAATTTTTGTTTATAAGATATTTCAATTGCTAGATTAACCTAGAAGTCCACTTTGTATCCTCGAACATGAGGTGCAGGGCTACCGCCAGAACAGAGCCAAATAACACGTAATTTCACGACCAAAGTTTCACGACCATCGCGGGTTTTTTCACGACCAATCCAGCCTTATGGATTATAGTGTGTTTGGTCGTGACAATAACTTTAATATAATTGTAAATTGAACAGTTTAGTTCAATTGAAACACATATTTTTATTATAACTAACAGGATAATTGAAGGATTGTTTGGAAAGATTTAGATTATTCCAGACAATTCACGACCGTACTGCTTGTCCCTGACCATCACGTTTATGATTTCTATCATAAAAATTTCAAAAATTAAAATATCGTCATATTTCAATGTTTTATACACAAAAGAAGCACACCTCTATACAAACATAACGATTTTTCGGGTTTCAGGTAAGTTTTTTTGGAGTTATACAAACTTAAAAAGATTTTATTGGCTTTTTTCAATTTTTTGAGTTTTTTTATTTTTTTCTAGAAAAACCAAATATACCAAAAGCTCAGTGACCTTTTTATTGTATAATGGTCATAAAAGTAAATAAGTTTATAGCAAAACATAGTTATAAAAATAATATTAACTATTTTTAATATTCATTTAAACGTCCGTTATGGTCGTGACAGGATTTTGTGTTTTTCCACTAAAGATGCTCTTTTAACCCTCCCAGTGTTACTTGACGAAAATTCGACAAGCAGCACACTTTGTGTAGTGTTACTTGTCGATTTTTCGACACGCAGACATCGTTTACGGCGAAGGCTCTATGACTGACTGAATCGGATTGAACTGGATCGAGTTAGGTATCGTTCTTTCCGTAATATTCTAAGCTTTCTCCAGAGGTCTGTCTCTAAGCGCTATTCATTTTAGTTCCGAAAATATTGTAGCAGACAGCTGACGTGCGTGTATTTGTAAACAGCTAGGTTCCCCCGGACCGATGACTGATGTGTTTTATTACGTTTATCATTGTTTTAGTGTTAAAAATCAAAAGTAGTGATATACGTGGTGCATTATAAGAAGATTTAAGTGGTTTTGAAGTGCTGGTTGATGATCCTGAAGAAGTAGGTAGTGATATTGATGTAAATTATCAGCCAGATTCCTAGCTATGGTTAGGCTATGCATTCTTAGCTAAACGCTATGTACTGAAATCAGTTTTTTGCCCATAACTTATTTATTTGCAAATATACTTCCTTATATTATTATATATTTGTAATCCTCATAAAATTTAGAACAAAGTGGCTATTTTCAAATATTTATAGGCCTATAATTTATACAATTTCATTGAGCGCGAACTTATTTTTTTTTTGAAAATTTTTGAAATTATATTTTTTTTACCTAAAAATTTTTTTTTTTTTTGAAAAAATGTTCCTTATGTTTTATATATAATATTGAAGCCCATGATTTTCCAAACAAAATGGTATATAGAACATTAGAATTAACATCAGGGTGTCTAGTAGTCGGGAAAATCGGGAAAGTCGGGAATTAGTATTGAATTACAAAATGGTCTTGAAAAGTCGGGATTTAGTCTTAAATTTGATTTCAAAGTCGGGAATTTTCATGATTTTGCTGCGATCGTCGTCTTGCGTTTACGTAACAGCAAAAGCCAATGATGATGTCTACACGGCCTCGGGAAATGTTCACGATTTTGCCGCGATAGTGGACGACGACGATGACGTTTCCGAAACCACGAGAGACGACGATAACGTTTTTGTGACAGTGGGAGACTACGATGACGTTTCCGTGACCGCGGGAGACGACGATGACGTTTCCGTGACCGCGGGAGACGACAATGATGCCTACACGGCCGCGGGAATTGTTCATGATTTTGCCGTGATCGCGGACGACGACGATAACGTTTCCGTGACCGCGGGAGATGACGGTGATGTCTGAACAGCCGCGGGAAATGTTCATGATTTTTCCGCGATCGCGGACGACGACGATGGCGTTTCCGTGACCGCGGGAGACGACGATGACGTTTCCGTGACTGCGGGAGACGACGATGATATCTGCTCGGACGCGGGAAATGTTCATGATTTTGTCACGATCGCGGACGACGACAATGAAGTTTCCGTGACTGCGGGAGATGACGATGACGTTTCCGTGACCGCGGGAGACAACGATGTAGTCTACACGGCCGCGGGAAACGTTGATGATTTTGCCGCGATCGCGGACGACGACGATGACGTTTCCGTGACCGGGGGAGATGACGATGACGTTTCCGTGATCGTGGGAGACGACGATGACGTTTCCGTGACCGCGGGAGACGACGATGATGTCTACACGGCCGCGGGAAATGTTCATGATTTTGCCGCGATCGCGGACGATGACGTTTCTGAGACCGCGGGAGACGACGATGATGTCATTGATGTCCAAACAGCCGCGGGAAATGTTCATGATTTTGCCGCGATCGCGGACGACGACGATGGCGTTTCCGTGACCGCGGGAGACGACGATGACGTTTCCGTGACCGCGGGAGACGACGATTATATCTGCTCGGCCGCGGGAAATGTTCATGATTTTGTCACGATCGCGGACGACGACGATGAAGTTTCCGTGACTGCGGGAGATGACGATGACGTTTCCGTGACCGCGGGAGACGACGATGTAGTCTACACGGCCGCGGGAAACGTTCATGATTTTGCCGCGATCGCGGACGACGACGATGACGTTTCCGTGACCGCGGGAGATGACGATGACGTTTCCGTGACCGCGGGAGATGACGATGACGTTTCCGTGATTGCAGGAGACGACGATGACGTTTCCGTGACCGCGGGAGACGACGATGATGTCTACACGGCCGCGGGAAATGTTCATGATTTTGCCGCGATCGCGGACGATGACGTTTCTGAGACCGCGGGAAACGACGATGATGTCATTGATGTCTACAAGGCCGCAGGAAATGTTCATGATTTTGCCGTGATCGTGGACGACGACGATCACGTTTCTGTAACCGCTGCAGTCAATGATGATGTCTAAACGTACGGTACGTGGAAGATTTCATGATAAAAAAAAACCAAATTTGCTAGTTAGAATTTTTTATTGCTGCGTTATTTCTTTACTTGAAAACACCACATTATCATAATACTACTTTATGACAAAGGCAGGGGTTGTTGTAGTATTATTCAGAAAATTTGCTTAAGCTATAAAAATTGGTATCGGTATCAAGAATCGATACATTTTGGTAACAACACCCACTAAATTGTTGAAAAAACTAGTCTTGAAAAATCTGGAATTAGTCTTGAAAAGTCTGGAATTAGTCTTGAATTTTATAATGGAAATAAACTAGACACCCTGAACATTGTTTTAAGCTTCTCAGATCCGTTTTAATAAAACCTTGCAAATGCGCCAAAAATAGGTGGACATTAAGGCCTAAACTATGGACACTTGGAGGGTTAAAAAGAAACTACAAAGATATTGCGTTACCATGGACATTTTATGTAACTTCAAATGTTAATGAAATACAAATAATAATAAAAGTTTTGAAAAAAGGGGAAAAGAATTTGCAAAATGCTTTTCCTGAAAACGTACGTTTTTAAATTTTCACTCCTCTGTGTTTTTCTAAGTGAATTTCTCTTTTTTCAAAGAAATCTGTAGCCTATAGGCTTATATAGGAAAATGTTCCTCAGTTGTATTATGATTTGAAAGTTTATATTATAAACAACATACTGCATGTCATTTGGAATTTTTATTTTAAACAGAGCAGACATCAAAATGCATTATGCAGGTATGTAATAACTATTAGACATATTATAATATACAAAAAGGTTAAACGATAATTAAAGGTAGGTAACCCATGAGGCTAATAATTTGTACAAAATAATTACTAGAATATATATATATATATATATAGGGGCCATTGCCCGTACAAGCCACTAGTAATTGATAATTTGGTAAAAATTTTGTAGGTTAGCAATGACAAGAACAAATAAATGCAGGTTTCACAATTATGTTGTGATGTGAATTTGGGGTACGACATGTAATTTTGTTCGGACACCTGACTGACGTGTTTGAGGTTAGAAAATAGGGGTTTTTTATATTTTAAATGATCGTAATTATATTTTACGTAAGTTACTGTTTTAAATAATCAACAAGATGGACGGTAAAAATTTGATTGAATATTTTGTTTTAATTTTTTTGAATTGACTGTAAATAAAGCGACAGAAGACTGACTGAAACCAAATGACTGAGAGATTACAGATGCGACTGCGACTGGTCTATGACAGAACTGTGCTGTAACTGATACTACGTGTGAATCGACCTTTATTCTCTTCTGAATCCTTTATGTGTAGCGTTGCACAGCAACTAGTTAATTTTAAGTAGTTTTTTTTTTCTTTACCTTTGATGTTTTTGTTTTTAACCCTTTGAGTGCCAACGTCCGGGGAACCGGACGTTTTTAAAACGAGCCGAAAGTGCCGACGTCCGGCCGACCGGACGTTTTTAGAACGAGCCAAAAGTGCCAACGTCCGGCTGACCGGACGTTTCGTAATGATCGAACAGTTGTCATAACAACCGAATGAATACTCGGATTCTTTTAACCCATATATTAACATTGAGTCGAAAGTTACTAGATGCGATACATCGATTTTCGTTGGTCGAAATATCGAAAATTCGATTTTTACGAAATTTTAACCTAAAAATCGCCAGATCGCGCTCGGCATTTTTAGCGCGACCTTCGGGAAAAATCATCGGCATTTTTTGAGCGTTACTTTTATTTCTCGCCTGGCACTCTAAGGGTTAAATCTGATGTGTTATTATTGAGGTTGATTTGTGGTTTTGAGAGGAGGAAAGAATGTATTTTTTTAGTTGTGGCTGTTGAGTAATGAGTAGAATGGATAAAAGTTGTAGAAAAAGTACTGAAGTTTTATTTTCTGATACTCAATATAAAATCTTTTTGTGTGTTAAAGATGTTGGATGAATTAAGATTTACAAAAATGCATTTTTTTCAGTTTCTCTATGTAAATCAAGCATTTGCACCTTCGCCTGACCAACTAGTGAGGAACTTGTATGACTGTTACGAAACGGACGGGAAACTGATACTTCATTACTGTTTGGGACAGGCCTGGGGCTGAGTTTTTTCAACTGTTTCAGAATGCTAAAGGAAAGAAGCCTTGGTAATTGTTAAGTCAATAGAAAAAAGTGTATCAGTCTTTGTGGTAGAACTTGAATATACAGCTGTACTGATTAATGGTGATTAGCCTAATCTTTATTGTGATATTCAGAGTGTGTTGCCCCATCAAGAGTATGAAATTGAACTGATGATTCGTGATAATGCAGCGTGATTAATTAAATACTAGCTTTGTTATCTGAAATCCAAAGCACCCACTTTGGTGTTCCTGCACCCTGAAACCACAGAGGAACTGAGAGTAGTTTGAGTTTGATATAAATATTTTCATCCATTAGACTTGTCTGTGTAAATATTATTTAATGTGATTTATATATCTGTTTGTTGTTGTATATTAAAGCATATTTGTGTTTATTTTTAAAAATTGTGTCGTCTACTTACTATTCCCCATAGAGACAACTGTCTATTTAATATGTGTTAAGGGAAACGTTTCAAAGGAATATTTAAGTTTCATTGATAGTAAAAAAAGCTTAGGTTATTCAGTTCAAAGTTAGCAAAATATTAAAACGATACTTGTCACAACTGTACTTGACTCCACTCACAATTTGGAAGCTTTTTAATAGGTTCTCAATGTATAAATATGTATTTACATAGTTTTGTTAGTGATCATCAGGTAATCAAATTTCTTATCAAACAAGAACTTATTAACAATCTGTTCTTCTATACAAAGCTTATTGGGAAATTGACAGAAAAGCAGGTTTTTAAATAAGTCCATAGAGACACATATAAACAAACACATAAGTTGAAATTTTCACTAGAGAAATGACAATTTTTGATAGAATATGTAAAATACATTCATTTCTTTACTAAACTATGAACATTTTACAGCAAAAAATACCTTTTTACCCTCCCTGTTGCAGCAAACCTAAGTACTCGTTAAACTAATTATATTTAAATAGGGAATAAATGTGATATTTTTCAGGAGGCATTATAGTGTAAATCTAATCAGGCAAATGGAAATTCGCTTAGTCTGCAGGTTTGCTGCAACGGGGGTATTTTAAATATATATATTATGTCCGTTAGCATAATAACTCAGGCAAAAATGATCCGATTTTGAAGAAATTTGGTACAAACGTGCATACCTACATTTATTCGAACGAGTTCGCGAACCAGCATGATCGGACTATGGGAACGGGGTTTTATGAAGTGAAAATAGGGTTTTCCCATTTTTGACCCTAAAAACAAACAAAACAGCAACTTATTTTCAAACCATTTTGCCGAGCTTAAAAAAAACAAATGATTTTGCCGAGCTTAAAAAAAAACAAATGCGTTATGCGCCGAATGGCTACAGAGAAAATTCAAAAAAAAATTTAATTAAAAATTCCTATGTTATTCTTATGAAGAAAATTTTAAACTGTTAATTTTAGTTTGCTTGTTTATGAGCATATTTTGAACAAATTTGGAAAATGCATTCATTTCATACTAAACTATTAATATTTTACAACATTTAATAATTTAATTTAATTTTTATATATTTAACATTTTACCTTTATAGGGAATACACGTGATATTTTTAAGGAGACATTTTAGTGTAAATCCAATCAGGCTCCTTCACAAAAACACGGAATCTAATACGACCTTCACGCAAATATAGGATTGAGCACGAATACTAGAAAAATACTGGTATGGATCATAAACATAAACAAATGACGTTGTTGGCCCGAATCCTATACTAATAGCATTGAACATTTTATGTTTTGGCAGTTCCATTTAAGCAATGTTAAATACTGTTTATTTTCGGACCAAAAACGTCATTTGTTTATGTTTATGATCCATACCGGTATTTTTCTAGTAATCGTGGGATTGAGGCATCGATGTTCGAAGTCATGATGTAATAAGAGCAAAAAGATAACTTTTTTGGCAGTTACTCAATTCACCCCCTAATCGTTAATTTACATAGTACGATGTCTTATAAAGCAATTAAATTCCGAGATCATAAAGGCTGTGGTTTTTTGACGGACCGTCGTGCACTTGTCTGCTTCTGTCAAGAAAGAACGTGAAATCCACAAGACACACGACCGTCCGTACTTTACTTTCTACTTTTAGGTTAGTAGAAGCTTAACAATTAATAGAGTGTTCGTAATTCGTCGAGTTTATGAAACTGTAAGTTGAATGGTAAAAAGTAATATTCCATGTAATTAGAATAAATAAATAATCTCCTAGCACAAATACTGTTATTATCATGCACTTTTTCAAACGAATAAAGATATTTAACTGGCTGTAATCGAAACGTAAACAAACATCACTCAACTCAAATCTTAGGTCTCTTTTGAGCGGGGTTGGCTACTAGGATGAAAAAATAGTATTTTTTTCTTTCTTATTCTGAGCTATTAAGGCTCAAGGCTTGGATAATTGCTCCACGCAGCCTGTTCCTGTTCGATGTCTAATGATAACTATTACCATGCTATTACTCACTGAATCCTTCTGTGGTTGTCTTTGGGCATTTTTGACACTTTCTGTTAGTGAGATACGGACGCGTATCGCGATACAGCGATACGATACGTATCGGAAAAAAATATCGTATCGCCATATTGAATCGGGCGTCTGTATCGCGATACACGAATTGTATCGTCAAAAATATCGAAAAACGATACGCATCGTATCGTTTCCCCCCTCCCCTACCTAACCTAGAAACGGCAAATTTATATAAGTAGGCCTACCTGGGGACCAAGCTTTGCTCGGGGAAAATCATTAGTTTACTCTGAAAACAGTCTTAGTATTGCAGATACACTAATCCATTTCCACACTCCACACTGCTCGCCTTTACTACTTCCTTCACAACTCCCTACGTCTTGGACCTGTTTCCCTATCCTTCCCATAGCATTTTAGGATTGCAGATACATTAATGTAATTGCCACAGACAGTTCCCACACTCTGCACTGCTAGTGCTTGATAGCACGCTAGTGGAAATGGACTGGACTGGGATGGGACTGGTACATTATCAAGTAAAAACCAAAAATACAGACGTCAAAAACTCCTATTTCAAACTACACATCCACAGAGTACAGATTTTGCAGTTTGCTCAGCCTGCGCAAAAAAAGCTTAAAAATATCGTTTTGACATGAATCGTATCGCTCTATGTGCCGATATAAATACAAATACCTATAGTTTTAGGCGATACGATACGTATAGTTTTTCAAATATCGTATCGAAATATCGTATCGTCCCTCGCGTATCGCGATATTCCGATACGATACGTATCGCTCATCACTACTTTCTGTAACAAAGGTTAGGTTATGTTAGTTACAAAGTTTACATTAATGTTGTTTTTATTTTGATTGTTATGTTTCTTTTTTTGTTAAGGAGCACACAATTGGCTATATAAGGGTTTGTTACGTTTTTTTTCACGGATGTGTAAAACAGATATCTTTTTAAAAATAAAAGTTAAATTTAATAAAAAAAATTTTGTATTGACCTACCAATTATTTTTTGAGTCTCATTGTGTACCTAACAGGTTTGCACAGTATATTTGCTGCTCCATCAAGCTGCTTTGGTGTTTGTTTATATTTTTTTTAATTCTAACAATCACTTTTTATCTTACAGGTACAATGGCATCTCCATCTGTTAAAATATGGGACCTACCAGATGAAATTCTTTGTTATATATTTTCAAAGTTGAATGCCAAATTTGTTATCAGAAGCATTATGCTTGTATGCACCAGGTGGCAATCAGTTGTGGAAGAAAACTACATTTTCTGGGTGACGATAGAAGCAGTCATTGATTGTGATTCCTTCTTAGGTCGCAGTTATCTACATGAAACTAATACCAGGTGGGAAGGCAAGGAAATATTGATCGGAGAAAAAGATGTTGAAAAAATATCCAAAGTTCAAAACTTTAAATTCATTGAAGGAAGTATGATACTTGACAAATCAATTTCCCTGCTCTTGGAGATTTTTGAAATTATTAATACAAACTGCAAAAATATTAAGAAAATAGAATTCTTCAATTGCATAGGTGTCACATCATATGAAGCTGTGAGGTTTTTAACAGCAAACTATCGCAACAGTATCACTGAAGTAAGTTTCGGTGTCAATGAGTTTACAGATGGGCTTTACAGATTTCCATGTGATGAAGTCTCAAAATTTGTTAATTTAAAAAGGCTAGTTTGTCATGACACAATGTTTCAAAGTGATAATTTGTATGATCTCTGTGAAAACTGTGAACACTTGGACAGTTTATGGATTTTATACTGTACATCTCTGGAGTCTGATGCGTTGATGTATTTTTTAGAAAAAAAGAAGCAGGTTTTAAAACAATTGGGCATAGGTGTGCTGTTGAATGACTGTATTCTTAACAAACTTAATAAATGTCATAATTTGGAAGCTCTGTTTGTTGCGAATGCCGGAAGTATAAGTGACATTTGCATAAGATCCTTTGCTCAGCAATCGAATCTAAGGTATTTTTCTCTTCAGCAAGCAAATATCAAACAAGATACACTAGCAGATCTTGTTTCATGTAATAGGAAACTAGGTGTGTTCAAATACTTGAAGATTTTAGACATGACTGGTCATTATCAATGGTGCAATGATGAAAGGATATACCCAAACTTGTTTGAAGAAGAATGTTGCACGAGCAAGAGGCATGACCAGGTAAGCCTGTTTAAAAAACTTAATCTACTGCTACTCTAAGGTGGTAACTGGCCAACACTGTCTCCAGGCTTCCTGATCTGCGGTCTCCTCTTCCCTTCTTCCTTGCTAATCTGGTCTTAGATCTCAGCTATGGCCATTCTGCTAGTCTTCTACCCACGTGATTTTGAAACCGTATTGTTTCGACTAAGATGCTGATCTCTTCCCTTGGTACATACTCACCTGCTTTTGGGCCCCAGCCACAATATTCTGGTCCAAAGAAAATTAATAAAATTGCCTCAATTCTCTGTTTGTGTTAAGCTTTAATTCTTTATTCTCCATCTACAAAGGATGGCCCATACACAAAAGCTTGTGATCCTAATAACAATTTTTTTACAAATTTAAAATAATTTAATCTGTAAAATTACTTTAACATTGTACCTACCCTAAAGCACCTATAATGCTAAAGCAGTAAAGGAACCATTATGTTATTACATTTTATTTCTGTATCCAATACTAATGTATGAGCAATGTTTGCTTGTACGTATGCTTGCTTGAAAAAAGATCTCAAAAATGGCTTTGACGATTTCCTTCAAATGTTGTAGGCCCTAAATAATTTCTGTCCTAAAAATGTGATTGAAAACAGCCACTACCTCAGGAAAATTTGTATTTCGCTAAACAACTCATTTGAAAAATTAACAATAATTTTTCATCGGCCTTATGGGTTGCCAAGTAACAATGTTGGTTGAACAAAATAACAAGGAAAACATAAACAAAATACTTGTCACATGTGTTTTAACAAGCCATCCACAATATACTATTAAATTACAATTTCCAGTACAAAGGGGGGGGGGGCTTGGCCCACGGTATTATATACTGTAGGCTACTATCTAAGTGCTCGTAGTTTGCAATTAATTAACTAATGGTATTAAAAGTTTTAGCTCTTATTATTATTTTATTATAATCCAACAGTTTGCCCGGTCTACAAACCAAAATCTTGTAGGTAGTCAGTTAACACGTTCAATGCGGCACCAAAATTTGCTATATCACTCGTATGGCTAAAATATGATATCTTAAATTAACTTATCAAATGTCATCTTGAATGATGATCAGATGTTATTTCGTCAAAATTTTTTTTGGCGTGATATGATGTCATCATTCGTGACGGCAATACTTGTCATATGTCGCGCCGTCCAGTTGCCATGTAGAACTGACGCTTGTGACACTAAAAGTAATCCCTAGCTTGAGTTGTGAACGGTTATTTTTCCGTATCTCCTAGTTCATCTTCAGTGTGAAAGTTTTGTGAAGAGTTAGCCATATTCATTCACTATTGCACATCACTTACATCATATAACACACTAACACACAGATAACAAAACTGTGCATGACGGGAACGACGCTGGATCGAGGATCATTTTGTAGTGGTGCTTTTATCAATTATCAATCAATCATTGAGATGGGGACGCCACCTAAGTGCATATTTTAACCCAAATATAAGTGAAGGAGCCTGTCAGCACGAGCAGTGACAAGATTACTCGTTACCTGCATTGGACGTGTTAACACCTTACAAGCTGATATACCCAGAAGCTTTGCAACGGGAATAGAACGCGGGTGAGAATTAATAATGCCAGCTTGTTATTTAGATCTGCTGTATAAAATACAGTAGTTAGGCTACACATAAATTATCAATTTAAAAGAGTACAAACTTATTTTATTTTACCACATAGTAAATCGTTAAAAAGTATAAAAATTGAAAAGTAAATGTTGCTTGAATGTTATGCTTCTTTTTCAGACGCACATAAGAGTAATTTACAACAACCGGATGAACTTTAAGCAAAGATCTTATTCATCTTCTATTAGCCACTGGATGTTTGGCTCCCTAAGATATTTTGACTCTAACTGGTAAATATCCTCCTCCAATTAAGTGCAAAGGTCAATTTATGTAGCACTGGTACAAAAAAAACTCTACAAATCAGCATTTATCAAATAAATATAATGCTTCCTTAAGATATTTGTGGTTTAACTCATTTTTTGATCCCCAACCTTATTTCAATTATATCAATCATATCAATTATTTAAAATGGGGACACCACTATGTGCGTATTTTAACCCAAATATGAGTGTAGGATGAGTGGCGTGATCTTGTAGTCTTGTTAGTGATTAAGGCCGACATATTCCTTAGACACATAGCCCATACAGCTAATGGCGACTAAGGGACCCACAGTTTATAGTAGAATCCCAACCACATTTTTGCCTTTGTATTAACGAATTGGTCTAATTATCAGTATAGTACTGCGGATTGTCATAGTACTCACTAGTTCGGACATTAATCCACACCAAGGAGTATCGCATCCACAATGCATGTCTATAAATATCCACAATTCGTGACCTAGTAGCTGGATTACAGGACGATGCCACTGTACCAGTCTATCAAAGTGATAATGCCGCAACCCCGAGGTCTAGCCTGAAGTAATGTGAAAAACAATCCCAGGCTTGTGCCCAGCATCCTAGGACAAAAAAAGGGAGGCATGGTTCTTTGCCATTGCTGGAACCATGTAGGGTAAAATAATACAGGGTAGTAGTGCAGATAGGTGGTCACTATGATTACTGCAATGTCAAATGAGCACATATCGTCACAGGCACGTAGACAGCAGGACTGCTTTTATTAATGGGTCCAGGCCCAGGGGCGCAATTATCTGCAATCTGCGTGCCTGGTACACAGTCTGGCGTGGTATCAGTGAACCAAAACGTTTATCTCATTGTCAGTGGGAATATGGCTGGAGCATGCATAATGACATTTAATAATCGACGTTCTTGGATTCGCGTGTCCCACTTCAGGTTTTTACTATGGTACGTCTATTTTTTTTTTTTTTTTTTTTTTAATTTCATTTGTTTATTTTTGGAACAATTTTTCTCCTCCTGAGATCTGTCGTGAATAGGCACTATCAAGGAATTTAAAAATATGTCTGCTTAAGACTTACATGTCTTGCTGACAATTTTACAGAAAATAAATTGTTGGGCTCTGCCATATTCTTAGAACTGTTTGTCAATTATAGAATTAATTCTCACTCAATATGACCTTCAGGCAACGTCTTGGGAAATAGTGTCTTTGATTTCCGATCCGACAATAAAAGTTGATGGCATGTAGTTGTGTAACCTGTGGACTTATCAAACTGAATATAAAATGTGGTACAAATGAATTATTATTATTAAAGACTCAACAAAATACAGTACCGTCAACTCCGTCGTTTTACAGCAATATTAAGTTTGCGAAAATTGAAACTCAGGATACTATTCAGTACTTTTGTTCTTCCTTCTCATCCCAAGACTTATCACCACTCTTTTGTGATTGACAGGATGGACCTTATAATTTAAAGGTGATTTATTATAAGTACTGTGTTAGAAAAAAGTTATCCAACAAGGGTAGGAAGCCTGACTGAGCGCCACTGTGTGTTTTGTGTGTGTGTCCCGCTTCTTGACAGGTAACCAACTAGGCTGCAAGCCACCAGAGAGTTACTGGACTTGACAGAGCATATTTTAGGGGATTTCCACTGGGCGACAATGGCGCCGGACTTACCGGGGTAATATCCCCCATCAAAAAGAGGGGTCCAGGGGCTTCCAACCCAAAAATTTTTGCATAGGTTAAAGTGAAAATCACACATTTCTACGTATCTTTTAATGAATTTTTCTATTATATTTGCTTGTCCATATATAGTCCATATAATCTCACTTAATAATTTGTGATAACTTTTGAACCCTAGTTTTAACAGCATTGATGAAGGGTTGCACTATTTTGTTCAGAATTATAAGAACCATAACATACTAATTTTAACCAAAACCGTTTTTTTTTATCCGACTTTTTTATGGGAAAATTACAGAAGTGAAGTTACAATAACTTTATACCAGTCTAAAGTAAATAGGCCTAGGTACCATTTTTGAAAAAAAATCTATTCTTCTGTTAATTTATGGGTTTTGAGAAAATGACAATTACAAATCAAAATTTAAGGAAAAAATCAAAAAATGTGTGGACATACCATGGGTTAGTTACCTAAGTTAAATACAAAATTTCATCAAAATCGGACCACAGGCACTGTAGCTCTGTACACATCCACACATACAGACAGACACTCACACTTAACATCACTTCAAAAACCACTTTTTAGGGTCCAGGAGGACCCATAACGGATGTATTCCCCACCACCACTCAAACTCAAAGATTTTGACAAAAACAATACTTTCTCCATATAATACTAGGGTATATAGGGAGAAAGTAAAAATTATCCGTATAGCAAAAACTTATAGTGTGAAAGGAGCGGGCTGTGCTAATGTCATTTTGATGTCCCCTATTTTTGATAACTTGAGTAATTTTTGTTCGATTTTGGCGAAATTTGGCTTGAAGGTGTAGGGCGGGGCGGGTTATACTTGAATGAGTTCATGAACCAGCATGATCGGACCAGGAAAACAGGGTCTTATGGAGGTTTTATGGGGTAAACATTGGGTTTTCTAAAGACATAAAATTTTCCAATTTCTCTCAAAACCACTTTAAAGAGCTTAAAAAACAATTAATTTTGTACTTTTGATGAGGTGTTCTCTTTAATGGTTATTGTCTTGTTTACAGAGAAAATTAAAAATATGTTAATAATTAAAAATCCCCATTTTAGTCCTATTGATGATAAGTAAACTATTGCAGTTTGATTGTTCATGGATATATTTTTATCAAACTTGGCAAATTTATTTATTTTATACTCACCTATTAATATTTTTTTCAAACGCACCTTATTACCCTCCCTGTAGCAGCAAACCTAGGTACCGTACTGCATAATTTAAATTAAATATATTTAATTAAAAACCAATCTAATCAGGTAATATAAAATTCGCTTAGTCTGCAGGTTTGCTGCGGCGCGGCGGGGTTGTTAATTATTTCAACTTCACCTCCAAATTATCTCCATCAAAATACACGATGCGTCGATGGACGATAATATGTTCCGATCCACCAATCCACGATCTTTGTCCAACCTTTGTCACATAAACAGCTGTTTCTGTGACGTCACTGATGGAAAACATATGATAGCGACAGCTGAGAGCTGAAGCTGAAACGTCAAAATGGCGTTTAGTGGATTGTTTTGAGTGTCAGGACAAAGGGAACTCAGTTACGTTAGTGGTGAATCAAACGAAAAGATTTTAGTTTTCACATTCGTAAACTCCAATATCTTATTTTGTTTGCTTATTATAGATCATGCTTGAACTGGAAATTGTACCAGAAAGATCGATTGGATGCGAACAATGGGAATTTATATTAGGTGAGTCATTAATACAGAGGGGCAACTATTTTGCGTTCTAATTTGTGAGCGACTTGTATCTAATTTCTCATTTCTAATGTTATTAACACCTTTTCTATCTTTATTTTGTTATTTCACCCGTGATATGAATATAGGCGAACTTTTTACAATGAACAAAAATGATAAAATGCAAAAGAGGCCTAGGCATTTTTCTATTGGGTCAATGTCGTTTGGCATTTCTTCATTACACCTAAAGCAGTTGTAAACAATTGATGTATGTTCTAGAAATGATTAAGTCGACAATAAGGTTGAATAAAATCCTATAGGCAGAGTTTAGACCTATGCCACATAACTTAAGACCAAGTATAAAAATTGACCCTGAGAACTTTCAAACCCTGATGTCACTCCTTAAGGGCCAAAAGTAACCATTTTGAGCACAGTTCCAGAAAGAACATAGGCTATAATCATAAGTATAAAATTTTCATTTGATATAGGGCCTAACTTAAGCTTAAGTTAAAATATTTTTCAATAAAAAAATTCATTTGACAGATAGCCTATTCAGTATTTACATACGTTAAGCACAATCAGCCAGTGGCTCACATCAGCTATCAATATTTTGATTAAATATCTGGTGACAACTTTAACATGGGGATTGAATGTCTTAAGTTTATATGTTCTCAATATTTAGGCTGTTTAAGGGAAGAGTACCTAGGGACCGAGCTTTGCTCGGGAAACTTTATCACTACACTATAGCCTACTCTGAGAGTATTCTTTGGTCAATGTAATTCTAACTTATCCCAAAAATAATAATATGAGGTATATTTTTTCTTGACATCTATTTAACTTCTATTAAAATAATAATATAGTTTACTGAAATGATGAGATAGAAGAGTTTTTAAAAATTTGTTTGGTTCCCCTAAATGGCCCCAAACTATAGAAATTAGCTACCCAGTATTTTTCACGCTGAATTCAAAAAAGGCTTATCAGTAGTAAGAAAATCTTTGTCACTGCAAGAACTTGGACTCGCTCCGAATTTAGAACTGAAACCTTTAATTTACCCTTAATATTTAAAATTAAACTTTAAATTTAAACTTTCTGACTGAAAAAAATTACGGTTGATCCTTGTTGGTGGGTACTAAAAACGAAACTTAGGTATAAACATGGTTGTATATCCAAGTTTGGTTGTCCTCGATATAATTGCACACTATTTTATTGACACTGAAAAATTATAGACTAGGCTGCCCTATAAGTTAATTGGGAGTTTATTTGATATCTAGTCCTAAACTTGTAGTCCATCTTAAGTAAGGCAAACATAATTAAAACCTAACCACAGAGATATAAATATAAGTTAGTGATATAAATATAAACACTCCTCCTCTGTAGGCCTAAAGCTACCTACCTATATTTTATTTGGGTTAGGATTAGTAGCCTACTTTTTTGAGAGAGTGTCATTATGAACTGAACACACCTAGATGATATAGGGTATTAGTGATTCATGAAATTATTCATTTATAAAAAACAACCTAACCGAGTTACCTTAATGATGTACCCAGTATTTAGTACAAAAATTAAAGCTTAGCCTATGCCTATGTATATTAGTTTTAAAACGGAGTAGAATAAGGCACGTATAATCTAGATTAGGCATTGATTAGTGTTAATAAACTAAACATGGATGAACCACTAAGTCAAGCTACTAACCCAGTTGTTCATGCTAGGCTAATCTGAGTCCTGAAAGCATCCATCTCAAGACGGCCAAAACTTAAGAACAGATCCTAGGGTTTGATTTATTTTAAACTTTTTTCCCTGAAATAGATAGGTACCGTAGCTAAACTGTCCAGTGCAATCATCCCACACTGCTAATAGCAACACTCAAACTTAGTTAGGTAAGCTAGTTGTAGGTTACAATTAATTATTATCCCTGTGACCGATTCAGTGTAACATCTGACTTCAGTCAGAATCAGACGACATTACTGACACGACTCGACAACCAACGAAAAGAGTAATTTAGTGATGATAATTATTTTTAAGAGCATTAAAAATAATAAAAAATAAAAGATATCGCTCGTTTATATTGTCAAAAGTATTAAATAAACAGTAATAAAGCTGAGAATAGTGAAAGAATAGTTTTTTAATGGATTAGAAACGTATTACTCTGGAAAGTTTTATAATGTAATACAAAATCTTATACATCAAACGATTTAATGAACTGGAGCAAAGTCGAGTCGTCCTCTTTCTTTCTGTCTCAAGTTGACAAAATTGTATGTCAGAAGCTAATACACATCAGAAGTACAACAGTAACAGTTACCTCGGAAAGTTCTTCAAGAGCTTTCTGCGCATGCGCAAGCTGAGGTGCCTGTGGGTACAGAATTTCGAGTTATGTCTTAAAATGTAAACAAATGACAATAATGGCGGAATGTTTTCTCATAAGGCCCATGTTAAATTTTCAAAAGTTTGTACTCATATTATGGCGAAAATAGATTTTTCCTGGCTATACCACTGGTCTAGAACTTATTTTTGACCCAGAACTTAGTTATTCCGTAAATATAAACGTTTTTGTTAGAGCCGATTCCCAGATCGAAGTAACAAGTATTCAAACTTTACTCGTATTATATATAGGATATCCCACCACTTTTTTTGTAGTATACTTAATGTGTGTTACTTAATCAGCTGTTGAGCTATACAGTAATTTTAAAGGTAAGGGTTAAGTGGAAGGGAAGATTTCCTCTCCTGAAACCAACTAATTTTGTGAACGTAGTAGGCCTAGTTGAATCAATAGTCAGATAATTTTATCTGTAAACAGCGGATGTAACATAAATCTAAAAGCTTAAGTCAGTTCTTCTTACTTAACCTAAACTTTGACTTCCTAATTTACTAACTTAAACCTGATTTTAAAACCCTTTATATAGTCATAAATCTGCATAAAACCTGACCTACCTTCCCTACATGCCTAAATGAGAACTTCATTACTAAACTTACTGCAATGATCAACCATAAGTAAATAATTTTTCTAGATGACTTTGACGTTTGGTAATCTTTCCAATCGAAATGCCATGATAGGCCCATCATCCAAACCGCTCAATAGACCTTAAATTCGTAATCTTTTATTTTGTTTTTTGAACACTTATTACGTCTCTTTTCAACAATTTAAACAAATTATATTTTAGGATTCAGCATGTAAAAACTGTAAGTGGGCACACAATAGGCTCTTAAACCTCACCTAAATAGGCTTAGTAGGTGTCTCAAACCTCACTGAAATCACCCAACAACAAATGAAAAACCAAAACCTTCATATCTATTTTTTTCCATATGGATCTATTGACACCATCATATTTGTGAAGGTATTGAACCAATAACATTGAACAGAAAACATTTTTAAATTATAGTATTTCCAATGGTATAACTCTTTGCCTAATTGATTACTGTTACTTTTGAGAATCGTATCATATCAGTTATTTTTGTTGTTTTTGCCTCCTGATCACAATATATAAATTATTACTAGAGGTTAAAATACCTTATAATCCGTCAGTGTGATCAAAAAGTCACCGATGAAAGGCGACCGGTTTCAACCCATCAAAGGGGTCATCATCAGGCGTTGATTGGACACATAATTACTCCGAAGAGGTCGTCATAAATACAAAACGAAGAACAGTTAAAACACCTTAACACATTTTTACAAAAACACGTGTGGCCACAAATTGACTGCGCGGCGGACGGTATGTGCACATTGAGTTACAAGTCCAGACTGTCGTCACTGCCGTCTCGTCCATCTGTCATCCCCCTCCCCTTCTTCCAGCTCTTATCAGGTCCTTTCCATGTTGTTATCATTCTTTCAATGCCGACTGCTGTTTCATATAATAAATTGCTTTCAAAAGATGCTTTTTTGTTCAAAATGTGTTGGGGATTTTTCTTGCCAGCTTTGTAGATCTCAAATTCTTCTATTACGTTTCAAAGAACACCTTCCGAAGAAATCCATCCAGAAAAATAATTCTGCTTTTGCTGAGCACCTAATAACGAACAACCATTCATATACATCAATAGAAAATAATTTAGAAATTTTACAAATTCACAGAACTAAAGGCAAACACTTAAACGTAATAGAAGAATTTGAGATCTACAAAGCTGGCAAGAAAAATCCCCAACACATTTTGAACGAAAAAGCATCTTTTGAAAGCAATTTATTATATGAAACAGCAGTCGGCATTAAAAGAATGATAACAACACGGAAAGGACCTGATAAGAGCTGGAAGAAGGGGAGGGGGATGACAGATGGACAAGACGGCAGTGACGACAGTCTGGACTTGTAACTCAATGTGCACATACCGTCCGCCGCGCAGTCAATTTGTATCCACACGTGTTTTTGTAAAAATGTGTTTAAGTGTTTTAACTGTTCTTCGTTTTGTATTTATTGACTTTATGACGACCTCGTCGGAGTAATTATGTGTCCATTCAACGCCTGATGATGACCCCTTTGATGGGTTGAAACCGGTCGCCTTTCATCGGTGACTTTTTGATCACACTGACGGATTACAAGGTATTTTAACCTCTAGTAATAATTCATATCAGTTAGCCTAATGCTTTCAATCATTGATTAACACACGTTCGTACACAATGTATGAAACCCTAAAATAACACAATTACATAGGCAAATTAAATAGCCACAATAAATTAGAGAATGTGTACAGAATAAAATAAAATAGATTACTATCAAATATTAAATATCAAACAGCATTTGCAACACAGACTGAAATTGTTTCGGTACTTTGGTATTATCCGGAGGCCACCTTTATACAGTGTGCTGCGGCGATTATGTTGGGTTGGTTAATCATAAACGGAAAGAACATACTTTAATTGACTTACTGTCCATATTTGACATGATTACAATTAGTGGCCTTTGAGTTCTGCCTCGGCAGAAGGTAGCGAGGATTGAGTTGAATGCGTTCCCGCCGCTAGCTGCCACACCAGATACAGGCGGTGACAGGTGATGCGCACGCTCCATTCAACAACCTCACCTTGGCCTACTTGGAGGGGATTTGGCAAGCTAAAATATGACTCATATGGTATTGTTTGATTCAAAAGAAACGAGGAAAGTCCTATAAACATATTTATGATACCCCAACCTAACATAGCCGCCGCAGTGCGCTGTAAAAGGGTGGCCTCTGGATAATACCAAAATACCATTGTTTCATTTCTCCACAACATGGGACCTAAAATGTATAATAAGCTTTCTTTCAACGATAAAAGAAATTGATAGCATATCAACATTTAAGAAAACACTTAGTTATAGCTTCTGGAGCATTTATACCACTTAACGATTACCTAAAACATGTATAATTATTTTTACTACTGGTTTTCAGAATTTTGGTGGTTGTTGTTTGTTACAATAGATTTTAGTTTTAAGACATAAAGTGTAGCCTAAAAGTGACCAGAATATACAGAAAACTTTGAATTTTAAACGGTTATGCCAAAGCAGCTGCCAACCTGTGAAGCACCATTGTTAAGTTTACTTAGCTACCCTAATCTAAAAATCATCGCAAAAATATGATTGACTTAAAAGTATAACCAACTAGTATTTCCCCATGTGCTTCAAACTTAAACTTATAACAACTATTCTGAGCGTTGTTTGATACATTTATTACTAAATTTTACTTAAGGGTCTTGCCGTAGGTGGCATGGCAATACCAAGACCTGGAATTTATTTACCTACTTTTTAATTTTCATGCTCCCAGAGGCCATAAAAAACCTCGTTGACAAATATTTGAGGCCTGTATAAGTATTTCTTAGTATACAAAAATGTGTGTCCGTAAACACAATACCTAGGGTAATTTTGATCAGACTTTGATGTAATCCATCATGAATGTGAAGGACTAAGCTTGAATGAGTTAACATAACAACCAGTAAGGTCATGGAAACGGAGTGTTATGGGGCTTTATTTTTATTTTTTATTATCGGTAGATCAAATTTTTACCAAAACCTAAAAAAGTCCAAATATTATTATATCCATTTAGTGCTTAAAAAAAAAACAATAATTTAGTATAGGAATTGAATTATGTTTGTTCTATGATTAGGTTTAGAGCAAAATGCTTAAGTTTAATTTTTTTTCACATCCAAAATTTGCAGGAATGCACTTCAGCCAAGCAGTGGCTATCATACAATCACAAGTCGGAATCATCAAAGGTGTTCAAGCTATTTACAGCGATTCAGTAAGTCTGTCTTCAAACATTATGGCTATTGCTAACCTTTTTATGATAATACTATGATGTAGAATGTACTATCATTTGACCTTTTTAACTTTTGTCTCAAAACTTAAAAACCGATGTTTATAGTTTCAAGTAAAAAGGTAAATATTTATCAACAGGCCTACTTGCTAATTTACTAACATCTTTCTACCCGACGCCGTACCTAATAGACTACAACGTGTCTAAAATGTATTGATTTAAAATGCTTTAAAGGTATGGTTATTAATAATCTATATAATGACACTTTTCTTTTTAATTTGTAGTCCCAACAAACTAAATAAACAGTAAAACTACGAAGACGAGCATTAATTACAGCACGTTCATGCTTTTAGAAGTCTAGTTGTAAATTTTATTCATTTCAGAAAATTTTACTCCTTTAAGAGTCAAAGGTTTTAAACCAAACATCTTCTTAAAAAAAGGTTCAAAACATCTTCTTAATTAGGCTTGCTTCGCATTTGATTTCTACAAGTTTGTTGTGGACAGTGTTTAACTAGAGCAACAATATGATAAGCTATCAAGTTCTGTTACTCTATCAACAACCTTCATATCTACACATTTTTATCTTTGCTGAGTTTGTTGAAAAAAATGTTTATTGAACCTGCAACTTTAGTCAACAAAGGTCGTGTTGCGTGTTTCACAACATGTGACTAAGAATTGTTTGTGAGGCGTATGTTTACAAACATGCTAAAACTTTTGAGGAACTAAATTAGCAGCATTCATAAAGTATTTATATTGAGCTTATAAACTGTTATAGATTGTTTTGTTTTGTTATTTGTGCTCTTTTAATATTTCCTAGTTCGTTGACCCTTCAATATAATCCAGTCAGATTCCTCCTTTAATGATGATGACTTTAGTTTTTGATTAGACTTTTAGATCGGAAACCTCGTAATATTAATACTCGAGAAATATTATCGCTCAGTTCAAGACATTATTAAACTTGTTGAAAACAGTGATTGATCAATCAGGCTTGTTGACAAAAACAAACATGACTTTGCAAATCTCAACGCAAGTTTTCTGTGTACGCAGAACCCACTGGGGACTGACCTGGTGCTGAATCTTCCACAGGATGGGATTCGACTCGTCTTTGACTCTGTGGTTCAGAGACTTAAGGTAAACAAATCTGCATCAATACAATCCTCATATGTGAGAAATATTAAATGATTTAACACAGTTTTCTATATAATCACATTTAGTCATAAAAGTAACCCAAATGAATGTTGAAAGCAATATTATTTAGATGCCAGTTTATCTTCAGCGAATTATTGTGAGAAAACATAGCACTTAAGTTCGGACGCGTTGCAGAAAGTCAACAGTGCCGGAAGGTCAAATAATTTATACCTGTGCCGCTAGGTCAAAAACTACAATGTTTGCAGTGTCTGTAGATCAAAAATCCCAGTAAGTCAAATAATACAGTCCGTGCTAAAAACGTAGTCTATGTTAAAGCGGTTGACTTATTGGGAATTTGACCTAATGCAACAGCAGTTTTAATATAACGAAATAAGATAAAATATAAGTTCAGTTTCACTGAGTCAACAGTGCCGGAAGGTCAAAAGTATAATCTGTTAAAAAAAACGATAGTCCTCTTGACGCATGACTTCAATAATTTTGTGTTTTGGTGTACTTAAAGTTGTGCTAAAATTTTGAAAATTGGCACAGAGCTTCTTGGTTAGTCCTACTCGATGACTATTTTGTTGGAACTTTAAACTAATTACCTAGTTAACCAAACCAAGCCACCTTGAAAAATAGCTGTTAAATATGGGGTTCTTCATTATTTATTACCATTTCGGGACTTAGTTTCCACAATTAAATTAAATTATTGTATTTCAGTCACCAACAATGGATGAGGATATCGTTGAAACAGCTAAATCAATGAATAAATAACTCAAGTCAACCTGTTGATTTAAGATTTGAACAAATGGGTTTTCATACAAGAACGGTTTATCCCAAGAATAAATAGTTTAACCTTTACATGTATATATCACTGAAAAGAAAAACTTTTAAAACGTTATATTTCAACAACACTGGATTATAGGCAATTTTTAATTAGGTACTTGGTTTTGAGTTTGGAAACCTAAACTATATTAAAATATTGCAATCCAGCTGTCCGTTTCCGAGAGATAGAAGTATGTAACAAAATATGTTCCATTAACTGAATAACAAGAGTTGACAGCATATTTCCTACCCAGTCAAAAGAATTAGAGAAAACTTTAAATGGGGAACATTCCTTTATTTTTTGTGGCAGTTAAAAATATGATTTTAGTATTTTGAAATTCAGCCGCCATTTTCCAAAATTGCGGCCAACTTTGAAATTTCTTGTGAAACGCCCTATATTTTATCATGTTGTAGAATATGCAATTTAAAAAAAAATTATTCTTGACATTTTTTCATTAAACCCACTTGTTTAGGAGTTACAGCCTATGGAAAAATGACTTCCAATGTACATTTTACATCATGTAGCGCCTAAACAAGTAGGTTTATAGCGAAAATGTAAGGAGTAAAAAAGTCTTAAAATTGCATCCACATTCCAAAAAGACCATAATTTTCTTTTAAAATATTAATTAAATTATTTCAATAATGGCGGTCATTTTCTAAAAGGGCGGCAAACTTGAAAAGTGGAAAACTGTTTATTTTATAGTCTTTATGGAATGTAGATGCAATTCTATGACTAATTTACTTCTTGCAATTTTGCTCTAAACTTACTCGTTTAGGAGCTACATGATGTAAAATGTACACCAGAAGTCATTTTTCCATAGGCTGTAACTCCTAAACGAGTGGGTTTATCGAAAAAGTGTCAAGGATAAACAAATTTTTAAATTGCATATTCTATCCAAAAGCATGATAAAATATGGGTGTTCCAGAATAAATTTCAAAAGTTGGCCGCCATTTTGGAAAATGGCGGCTGAATTTCAAAAAACTAAAATCATATTTTTAACTGTCACAAAAAATAAAGGAATGTCCCCCATTTAAAGTTTTCTCTAATACTTACCGTTTCCGATACCCCAATGGTGGCCTCCTTGAGTTGATCACCCTGTATATATGAATTTGAACGGATGGTGTTTTTGGCCTCTAGGGACCTCAAAACGAAAAATTAAATCGGTCCCGGGTCCAGGTGTTACCATGAGTACTACGGTAATAGCTTATTCCCTATATGCGAAATTCGCTAAAAACCTAATAGTTCTATAGAATAACTAGTTCAACTTATTAATTTTCAAGATGAGCTCGTTCGCATGGCTCAATCACGTCCTGGTTGAAGTTCGTTCGCTAAACTCACTCACTTTTAAGTTGGAGCTCGTTCGCTGCGCTCACTTGCCTTGGGGTTAGCTCGTTCGCTACGCTAACTCGCCTCCAGATTGAAGGTCGTTCGCTACGCTCACTCACCTTTTGGTTGCAAATTAGCTGTTGTCATAAATTGTTTAATTGACACAGCTGTTAAGATTCATTAATTCCTTTTAAATATGAAAAATCATAAGGTTAACATGGGAAACTCCAGAGCCACTGGGGCGGAGCCCGAATGCCCGATCATAATAAAAACTACTTAGTTTTCCTATTTAATGGCCAAAGAATCGGTGTATCGAATTTCAGCCTCCTAGGTAAATGGGAAGTGGGAGAAGTGATGATGAGTGAGTGAGAGTGAGTGTGTCAGTGAGTCAGTGAGGGCTTTGCCTTTTATAAGTAGGACTATACATAGTACATTAAACCAGCTGTTAGTTATATTGGACTAAAACAAATCGATGATTACAAAGAATGCTTTAAAAAATAATTTGAACATCCTACTACTGTATTTTACTATGCATATTTAATTAATCTGCCATCCTTGTACCGAAGAATTGAATGTATCAATGGTCAGCATTACACATAGTATAAATAAGTCAACCACAAGTATGTATTTGATTTTTTTTTCCAAATGCTGAATTTGTGTCACAAATGCTGAATGTTACAACTGTTATGTTAAGCAAATTATATTGTACTAAAAGCTAGCTAGAAGCATTGACTATTGGAGAGGGTTAGCATCGGCTACTAACTTTTTAAAAACTAAAACTTAATTTCTAAAAAACTGGGACCCTAATTTAAAATTATGGCTTTGATATTCCCTAGTTCTCAAAATTATCTTTCTTTCAACACAAAAATAATGAAAATCCATCGACTGGTTGATTCAGAATCGTGAAAAAACCCCATTTACGTTTTAATAATATATATGATACAGTCTAACCTTGATATAACGAACCTCGATATAACGAATTCCTTGATATAACGAATTTTTTTTAATCCCCTAGAACTCTCCATAAGACACAATGTATATTTTACCTCTACATAACGAACAAACCATAGCAACGACCTTGATTTAACAAATTTTTTGTGATTTTGGCTAAAATAAGACACCTCAATAATATAACGAATTTATCTTTGTCAGAACCTCTACATTGCGAATTTAACCTCTGCATAACGAATTGTCTACGTCTTTCCCTCGATATAACAAATCCCCCACCCAATTATTGTTTTGGAAAAATCTGTTTCTTTATCAAATTAAATGGAAAGATTGTCATCGCTTGCGCTAACATTCGTCTGCTCCATTTTACATCTTTGTCTGCTGCCGCTGTGCACGCTATGTTGCAACTGAGAACTGATTTCATTCACTGAGGATGAGGACTGATGACGACGTAATGTTTAGTAAGCTGTGATTGGGCGATATAGGATAACTATGGTGAATTGTACAATTTTTGGATAAAGAGAAACCTATGAAAGAATATAAGAACAAAACCAAAGAGAAAGAATAGCAACATCGCTATTTTAACATTCCTTTTACTAGTGTTTTTATTATCCTTAAGTTGGCTATGATTATACACTTTTATAATGACTTATCTAATAATTCATTGTTTTCAATACGATTTGTTTCAACTAGCAACACCAATGCTATAGTTAATGATTATTATTCCTCTGTTGTGATAAATCAGTACTGTGAACTGTAAGTAGCCTACCGGCCTATCACGAGCAGTAGCTTACAAAACTTTCTACTTCTACTGTTTTGTTTTGTTCTTTACATGGTTTATGACTACGCAGTACAGTGTTTGGCTAGGTTTTAGGAGGGTTAGAACAAGCTGTGATTTTAAACTTACAGCTTTTAACCTGTACCAAGGTCAATGCCATTGTCATGATTGCGCAATATTCAAGATCCCTCCCCTTTATTATGCCGGATAATTTAGGTTCTACTGTACAATGTAAACACTGTACTGTAAAGTATTGTAGCCTATGCTACTTTAATTGTATTTTAGAGGTCAAATCCCGACCTATATTGACCGACTCTGGTTCTGAACCTCGACTTAGCGAAATTCCTGCAAACCCAACCTCTATATAACGAACCTTGTTTTAACGAAATCCTTGATATAACGAATATTCAGTTCGGTCCCTTCAGATTCGTTATACTGAGGTTGGACTGTAGTTTGGATAGGTTTCAACCCTTCCGAGGCGTAATAGATTTACACAGTTTATGTGTAGACTACATTATAACTCATAAAGTAGTTCTAAAATTAAATGGATCTCCTTTTACAAACGTATATAATAACCAGAAATTTTCTGATCGTCCTTGTGTGTATTTCATGCCAAAAAACGAAGTAACTAAAAGCAAGTTTTGTTTGTGTAGTAAGCGTTGCAGGAGGTCTACTTTACACTGAATCGACGTTCACTTTTAATTGCTTTTGATCTTCCGGCACTGTTGACTCAGCGAAACTGAACTTGTATTTTACCGTATTTCGTTATATTAAAACTGCTGTTGCATTAGATCAAATTCCCAATGTGTCAATCGCTATAACATGGACCACGTTTTTAGCACGGACTGTATTATTTGACTTACTGGGATTTTTGATCTACAGACACTGCAAACATTGTAGTTTTTCACCTAGCGGCACAGGTATAAATTAATTGATCTTCCGGCACTGTTGAGTTCCAGCAACATTCCCCTTAAGTTCATAGACGTTTCAAAAATAATTTGAATATCTTAAACATTTTTGACGAAACTTTTAATATTAAAACTGTTAAACATACATAATTATCTTTTCCTAATAAGTAATATCATCCACATTTGACCCAGAGAACTTATCTAAATTAGATTCTATAGGGGATTTTTTTAGCTTTAATTGCTGGAAAATTTAAGCAATAATTAAGTTTGAATTAAATTAATACCTAATAATATTATCAAGATATGGTTTTAGAGTGTGTATTGTACTTGTAATTTGACCATGTTTCAAATATTTACTTTCTAGATATCTTGACATATGCAAAGACAAATACCGTATAATATATTTTTTTCAGATTATCGAGATTTATAACATGAAGCTGGTGAAGCTTAAATACTGGTAAGTGTATGTTATTCATTTGTTAAAACTTAATTGAGACGTTTTCTATCCAGTAGCTCATGGACCAAAACCCTTCATAACATCAATTTATTATGTTTCAAGCGCTTATTGATTCTTGTGTGGGCATGTACTTTTACCAATTGTATAGCTTTGTATTTTTGTATTTATATATTTATTGTACAATGGTTTTTGCTGTAAATAAAAAAAATAAAAACCATGACTGTTGTTTGTTTGGATGGTCACAACAGTTTGGTTAAATTTAAATCTGGTCTTCAAATAGCCCTAGTTTAAGAATGTTGAATGTAAAGAACAGAGAATCCTGAATTAATAATATACTTTTAACATACTTGTCTCCAACAGCCCAAACAAAACAGAAATCGAAAATCCTTGTAGTAAGTTTTCTAAGTTAACTCTCTGTTCACAGTGGACTGGTGTTCAACTCACCTGAAGTGTGTCCGAGCATTGAGCAGATTGAGCACTCATTTGGTGCGACACACCCGGGCGTGTACGACGCAGAGAAACAACTCTTTGTGCTCAACTTTCGAGGTCTTTCTTTCTCCTTCCACGTGGAGACCAAGTTTCAGGTATGTACATTTTGTCTAAATATTTACTGCAAAAACTTGCCTTGTGAAAGATTAAATAGTTTGAACATTTTCTGATAATTCATCTAGAGTTGGGATTTAATCAAGCAGTTTTATGATGAGACATATTAAAATATTAGTATGTTTAAGCACAACCTAACTTTATCAACCTACGTCTAGATGTGCAGCTCTTGGGTGAAAAGGCTTTTAATTTACTTTTATAATATTTGGTCTTGTTAACAGCCGAGCCACACAGCAGGGCTGGGGTCGTTGCAGTTCGCCAGTGGCTCTTCGCCTTGTGTCTCCGCCACCAGTGTATACTCGGGACAAAGCTTGGCTGACTGTTCGCCTCCTCCCCTCCCCCTCTCCTGTTACTACGCGCAGCTGTATCTCAGCTACGTGGACGTACTGCGAGACAACAAACGCACACGCGGACTGCGACTGCACCTGTATACAGAGGGTGAGTTATAGGCATTAGTAACATTATAAGGTACTATATTTTAAGTTTCCAAAATGAAGACAGTATAGTTTATAAACTTAATATGGAAAGCATTTTACCCTGCTAGACTGAGAAATTGAAATGTGCGGGAAAAGCGACAAGTCACCTGATATTTTAAACTCTTAATGGCCTTCAACATGATTGATTACTCAACAGAAAATTATAGAAAACCCTAAAACTTTAAAGAATAACATTTTTATAAATAAAGAAATCAATTTAGAAAATTTATTGAAAACATTTGAGTGTGGTATAGTTTGCTTTGTAGACACCACAATCTGACATGAAAATTTATCTGGATAACTTGTCATACACCTAAAAGAGGTTAAGAATTTAATCATAATTTACACAATTTCCCAATTGTTTGTCAATTGAATTGCCTATATAACCTAATCCTAACCGAACCAAATTTTTTTGCGCTTTATAAAACAAAAGTTATTTTAAAACTGTTTGGCAGGTCTGAACAGGCGCAAAAAGACTCTTGTCAGAGAAGTTCATTTCTCTGACACTTGTCAGGACGTTGCTACGCTACTAGGCACTCCGCAGCGGGTCTTCTTCAAAGCCGAAGACAAAATGAAGATACACAGCCCCAACGCTCATCGTAGAGTAACGGCTCGTAGATCAGACTTCTTCTTCAATTACTTCTCTCTGGGAATGGTTCGTAACTAGTGTTATATCATGGTATAATTTGTATTGTGTTTTTCTCCACCAATTGCAATATTGATATTTTTTTTGTAAAGAGAATAATTTAAACCCAGGTCTTTTTTAATCGTAATGTAGGTATTTTTTGTTTAGTTTCAGAACTAAATGATTTTATCTTTTATTCAGATTGTTATTTTTTTAAGTATGATAAAAGTGGTTTATATAACTTTTTACTGCCAAACAGTTCTTTTAGTCCTGTCTAGGCACCAAATATTTACACATTTTACTGCTATAGATTAGCATTACTATAAACAATACCTTCCTGCGCACCATTAGACTTGAAGATATCTGTCACCCAAACCCACCTTGGTTGTAGCTGTCAGTGACAGTTAAATATTCCAACATTTGTGTTAAGTGTAAAGTCTTTTCAGTGTTGGGGAAGCTACTTTTAAAATGTAGCTAGCTACAACTACTGCTACATTTCCAAAAAAGTAGCTTAGCTACAGCTACAGCTACAGTTCCGAAAAAGTAGCTAGCTACAACTACAGCTACAATTTTAGCTACTTTTCCAAAGACGTTACTTTTTATTCCACGCACATTAGGTAAATGTAAAATTAATTGCAACTACATTTTTATTGAACAAACATAAAAAAGGCAGTATTGTATCTTACATTACTTGGAAAACAAATTATTCCTAGATAGTATTTAATTTGTTGGCATTATAAACCTAACATTACAACAACAGAACCTAATAGTTGGGTGTCCCATCATATTTAGTACTTATTTTTAGATATTGCATTATTTTTAAGCATCTTAAATGTAAATTTCATTAAGTTCAAAGGACGTACAACCAAACTATATTTTAAAAGCTAATTTTATTTCTTTAATATAGATTTATTTATAGATGTCTTATATCAACAATATTAAGACCAATAAAACTGTAAAACGATTATTTAAAAATACATTTTTGTGTTACAGAGCCTAGCCTACTGAAATTGAAGTTTATTGCCTTTCTTTACTTTTAATGTTAAAAACGACATTGCTATAACTTTTAACCATAGTGATAAGTTACTTGTTCTATGAATAACACTTTTCAATGTCAAGAAATCGTCCTTTATTGTCATTATGCATAGGGTAAATTGTGCTTCAACCTAGTTGGTACAGAAAACAGTATTCAGCAACTTATCCTAAAATCGGCTTTTAATTTAAGCATTTTGAAATTTGTGAAGTAAAAATAACATGTAGGCCTACTTGGCTATGTAACAATTTGGCTATAGGAGGCTTGTTCTTGCAAGGACTAAACAGATATATTCCTAATAAATGAACTTGGAACTTGGTATTCGTCTTAAACCATAGCATAGCCTAGGAATAGTCCTATACAAGAGCTGTTAGCAGGAGCAAACTATGCTATTTTTTCAATGTAAGTTTCATGTTATATGGAGATTTTTTTGTTACAATTATCAAGTAGGCATGTCTTAAATCTCATCAGGTAATTTCCTCTTTGTTAATTTAGTAAACCTTTGAAAAATCTTCGTAATCTAACCAAGGAAGGGCTTGTGATGATAAACCACAATCAACAGCTGAAGCAAAGGTCGATAGACCAGCTTTCTCATTATTTTAAGGAGTGTTGGTTTCAATTTGAAACCCAAGTTGAAACACTATCGATATAATTAAGAAACTAAATTGATTACTAATTTCCCTGTCAATCACTTGCAAGCATTCAATAGCTTCTCTTGTCACCGGTAACGTTTAAACGTCGTCTGCATCTAGCGATTTTATTTTATCTGACAGTAATCATAGAGTAGTAAATTAAGGAAATGAGAGCCAAAAATGTGGATAACACTCATTTAATGGCCTCCATGTCCACAGAACGTTGTAATAGGGAATGAAACGGCTGCAACCAGCTGTATGAAGCCAAGAAAGTAGGCCTAATTTTTTTGAAAATCCCAGTTTGAAAGAGGTTATTTCACGTAAGGTTGAGGTTAAGATAAAAATCACTATCTCAAACAATGTTAATGTAGCGAGAAAAGTAGCTAAAATTCCGCTACAACTACTTTAAAAATGTAGCTAGCTACAGCTAAAGCTACAAAATCTTAAAAGTAGCGTAGCTACAGCTAACGCTACAAAAAAAGTAGTGCGCTACTGTAGCGTCGCTACTTGTAGCGCGCTACTTCCCAACACTGAGTCTTTTGCCATTCTCGTGCTAGAGTAGACTCTTTTCACTCCAATAAGCCTAAAGCCCTAAAAAATCCTTAAAATTACTCCCTCGCTACAAGCTTAACCTCACCAAAACTCTTATTACATACCATACATACAGGGTGTCTCACAAAGAGGTTTTAACATTTGATTTTATTTTTATTGCCCATTTATAGACCGAATATTTTGAAACTTTACACAATTTATAAAGTAGGTTTTAAAAATATTCTGAGAAAATTTCAGCTCCCTAACCCTAACCCTGAAAAATGATGCTTTCCAGGGTTGCCACCAGCCATGAAAACCTTGAAAAGCTTGAATTATGCATGAATTCTTGTGACCATGAAAAAAGGCATGGATTATGCATGAATTTCTCCATTGGACCATGAATTTTAAAGATCAGGATTCATTATTCAATTAGTACAATTAAATTGGCCAAATAATTTTTTTTTCATATTTAAAAACGGTTCAGAGAAACCAACACCAAGAGAATACTGTCTGGAAATGATTATTTAACATGTTCCACGATCAGAAACATTTGCTTAGTTAGTTCATTCCAAGTCATTCGAGGTTAGATGCTGATGTGAGCTGAGTCTTTCTGAAGACTTAATATGGTTTAAAAAATCATTAGTAGGCCAACTTCCGCGTATGTATAAAGGGACATGGCAATCACAAAAACAGAAGTTTTAGACCATGCTCGGAATTGAAACGGGGTGTACAATAAAACAAAATTTCCGACTCTTGACGCCTGATTTTAATAGCTTTGTGGATAAACCAATCATATCTTAGTACGTTGAGTAATAAGATAAACCAGTAAAAATAAAGGATATTTTATGACATTCATGTGGAGGGATAAAAAAGGACTTTTTGGCCAGGTGTGCGGGATCTTTGTTTTATTCCGGTGGAAAGACTGAATTAGACCTATACTTATATATTTTACTCTTCTTCTCCAATGTGTCATATAGAATAGCTGGACCCATTTTGTTTTCATCTTTGTTTTGAATGTATATTTATGAATTACTCTAAAATAGTTGAATTTCATGTATGGAAAGGTTATTCAATAGTAAAACGCAAAGAAACTGCCTCTTCAACAATTTCTTAAGTCAGCAAAAATGAGCGCACCGACCATGATTTCTTTTTTTAACTGCCCATGAAAACCATGAATTTTGCATAGATTTTTTCATCCCACTATGGTGGCAACCCTATGTAACATTTTCCAGTGTTTGAAGGAAAACAACTCCCAAACAGGAATAGTTTTCCAGAAACATTTAAAAACTGGCCTACCTAATTCTAAAATATTTCTAGGAATTTAAAAATGAGCTAAACAACGTACAGAGACGTAACATAATATCATTATGAGTAACGCATTTATTTACTCCATAAAATAATATGGTGATTAATTTTTTTTTAATTTTTAATTTTTTTTAATGTCTTCTATTCCATATCTTCCAACTCCATGTCTTCTATTCCACATCTTCCAACTCCATGTCTTCAAATTCCATATCTTCAAATTCCATATCTTCCAACTCCATGTCTTCTATTCCACATCTTCCAACTCCATGTCTTCTAGTCCACACCTTCCAACTCAATGTCTTCTATTCCACACCTTCCAACTTCATGTCTTCAAATTCCATATCTTCCAACTCCATGTCTTCTATTATACATCTTCCAACTGCATGTCTTCTATTCTACATCTTCCAACTCCATGTCTTCTATTACACATCTTCCAGCTCCATGTCTTCAAATTCCATACCTTCCAACTCCATGTCTTCAAATTCCATATCTTCCATCTCCATGTCTTCAAATTCCATATCTTCCAACTCCATGTCTTCAAATTCCATATCTTCCAACTCCATGTCTTCAAATTCCATATCTTCCAACTCCATGTCTTCAAATTCCATATCTTCCAATTACGTGTCTTACAGGTTGATCACGTTAAAAAAATGCCACGTTGGTTTATACCAGGTACATAAATATAGTCAATTCTTTTAACAAAGTCTGCAGTTGAAATAACGGTTTGCAAAGTTTAAATGAATTTATTATTTTGAATATCCATGGCAACATAAATCAATAATAGTTTAAATAAGAAAAGGCAAAAGCTATAAAAAATGTTATAAAAGATTCATTTGTTGACCTTTAATACTCTGTGTTAAAAATTCTTTTTCTAGACTAGCTGTGTTCCCGTTCTACGCACGGATAGTGTAGTCAGTTGAAGTCACTGGTTAAAATACTACCTCAACCTCACAATTTAACACTTTATTCTGGTTGACATTTTCATTAACAAAGGTGCTCTTGTCTTTTTCGTGAAGCACTGAGGAATAAAAACATTAATGCGTCAACACCAGACATACACACAAAAATACAGAAATTAATTAAGTTAGGAATCTTCTACGGTTTAACCATAGCAAAGTACATATAACATTATTAGTAAGCGCCGTCAATGAGTGGAAACCTAATTTTTGCAAGCTATTGGCGACAATGATTTTAAAAAAGTAAGTTTCCCATCCGTAAACAACACTGATTCATGGTCTTTTTCCCGGTTATCAAAACTCAAGAACAATTTGATGCACAAAGAATCTCTGGTTCCTGACGTGGATGACGCCTAGTTATTTAATTTGATTTACCGTTACACAATATTGCACTTGCGATTAATTAAATCCGTTATCTAAGTAAAAACTTGTTTAATCTCACTTGGTTTGAATTTTCTTTCAAATCGTGATCCGAAATGGTTGCGGCATTTGTAAACAACATAATGTAAACATATCAGTGACGGCTAAAAAAAATAATCTTGATCCAAACTAACAGCTTTTCGTTATTTCATAGATGACGTATGTGATAAACATTAGGAAAAAACTTTGCAAACTGGGAAAAAACGCACAAAATTGGGTTTTTGAACGCCCGTCATTTTATTTACAAAGTAGTGAGGCCATATTTTAATGGCTAAAGACACTCTCGCCAATCATGTGAATACATGAAAATGATTTGAATCTTGATAGATACTCTCGTTTTCCTGGAGAAGATAGCGTAGAATGCCATCTTGAGTGTTGCAGACAGACAGAAATAGAGATAAGACTAGTTTCTGCTTCTTTAATGTATAAAACGTAAAAATAACCTAAAATATGTAATTCTGAGCAATGTACAGACAAAATTCTAATTTTATTTATATAGCATTATATAATCTTTTTCTAACACCTGCCCCACCAAATTACCAAATATTAGGGTAGAAGAGAATTTTGAAATTGGCGCACTCTTTGAGTGACTATTCCAACTATTGTCATTGACCATAACAAAGGACCATAAGGCTGGGAATACACTATCATAGTTCTATGACATTTATCTATTACCAATTGTCTTTGATGAAAATATTATAGTGTAATGGACCAACTTACTATACATTATGATATTGTGTCTATGATAATCCTAAAACGATCTAATCATAAACAATAACTCGTCCCCTAGTTATACAGTATAACCAACTAGCGTCACTAGCGATCGGTGTCACCGGACATGAACTAGACACGAAAAACGAGCATCAAAGTGTTCAATGGGATGAGAAGTCTACGTTACACCGAAACAAACCCAAAACTTATTGGCTGATAGACTCTCTAACAATTAATTTACTAAGATAAGATTTATTAAAAATCATTAAAAATTGTGTTTTTGTCATTGTGAAATATTTTTATTGTTACATTCTTTGGAAATTAGGCTTTTTAATCAGGAAACTAGAACATAGCCTGGTTAAATCCTAAAAGTAGAGTCCAAAATTATTCAAACTGTGATCAATCCACAGCAACACATTGAAAATTAACAAGCTTAACAAATTAACCGTAGGCTCTTACACAGTTTCTTATGATTTTTAAAGCATTTTTTTTTTCAATTTTCCACCATTTTGTTTCTACTTGTTAGGGAGCTGAAATTGTTCCAGAATATTTTTAAAACCATCTTTATAGGTTGTGTAAAGTTTCAAAATTGTTGTGCACAAATTGGCGAGTGATATAATCAAACGTTAACCTCTTCGTGCGACATGCTGTACATTGCACCATGCCTACATTAATCCATAATAATGTTTGTTTTTAGGATATTCTATTCGATGCCCGGACTCAGAAGGTGAAGAAGTTTGTTTTGCACACTAACTATCCGGGCCATTACAACTTCAACATCTACCAGCGATGTGAGTTTCACTTGGGCTTCCCACCGCAAGCTGCTGAGGACAAGAAGACCATTCAGGTACTGAAGTAGACAACGGACGCCATAATCAGTGATGTAGTGGGATGCTTTGCCACTCTGCCTTTTCCAGTATACTTTATATTAATAGGCCACCTGTGCTTTTGGGATTGAACTATAGCTAAAAGGGTTTTGTAAAAAATAAACTTTACAGTTGCCTTTGCTTGATATGCAGAAGAACTCCAACCATCTGAATCGTCAACTATCCAAATTGCTTACAGAAAGAATAATTTCCAAAACCCAAAACTACAGTAATAAGAATCGTTATTAAAGAAGGCAAGATTTACCCTTGTGCTATAGCGTTTTGTACAAAAACAATATTTAGAACATAAATAAACAATTTATTTTGTAAAGTTAATAATTCGCCACGATTTTGAGTGACGATAATGATGTCCATATGGTTACAGGAATGTTTTGTAGAGATCATCGGCTCCCGCAGTCATGGGAACATTATCATCGTCTTCTGTAACCGTGACAAAATCCAGAACATGTTCCACAGTCTTGTTAGTTGGTTGTTGTTGGAATATCATCATTGTCCCCCGCAATAACGGCAAAAGAGTGAATTTTTTTATCTTTGCTAATACCATTGCAATATAGGCTTGACTCTAAAAAGGTATTTTATTCAATATATAACACTTTCGGTAAAACCATTATGTAAAAACTGAATTCAAAACATTATCGGCAATTTAATCTATAACCAGCTTTGGTTTTGTGGTAGATCTCGGCGTACACAAAGTGGGATAGTGTGTGTGAGAGTGTGAAGCCGTCCGAGCGCCCGGTGGTCCTCAACAGGGCTTCCTCTACCAACACCACCAACCCTTTCGGTTCCACCTTCTGCTACGGCTTTCAAGACATCATATTTGAGGTAAATACCACAAAAAAGTGTATTTGTCAATTTTCTTACTAACAACTCAAAACACATTCAACTCCATCTTCTGCTATAGCTTTTAGGACATCATATTTTTAAGGTAAATACCACTAAAGCAAGTGTATTTGATGATTTGCTAAGACCTTCAACTTAAGTCCAACACAGAAATATATTTTTTTGATGCTCCTTTAGTGAAGAAATAGTAGTCCAAAGTAATGTTAGTCAATATGTTTTTTCACAGGATAGAGAGATTATATGTTGTCAGATTAGGGTTGAATTTTGTTTGTCTGAAAGAGTAAAAAAAAGTTAAAAAAAACAAAAATCGCAAAACTTGATTGTTTGATATATTCTTTTCTGAGGTTTATTTTATCTTGTCGCAGGTGATGTCCAACCAGCACATAGCCTCGGTGACCTTATACCTCGCCCAGGAAGGTAGTCAAGTATGACGATGGCTCACCGCCATGTATCTAGTCCTGGCGGGAACGTTTTGCCATTTCTGAGCTCTTTAGGTTCACGGGCTATTCAGTGCCAATCGCAGTTTATTGAGTATTTTCAAATTCTGGCTTTTGTTCACATGAGGGCAGACATTGCTACGTTTGATTATTGATAGATTAAAAAACCCAAAAAAATACTTTATCGATTGAAGCTCAGTTAAAAATTGTTAACTATTTTCGGTTTTTTGTATAAGTATATAAAGGTTGCGGAACTTGTTTACATTTTACCATCCATTTCAATGTTACAAACCTCTATATTGAGCGTTGTTCAATATGAAGGTTAAGAGCATATTTATATCAAATCAGTTCTTACATTGAAAACTAATAAATTGGTTACTACGTACTATACTCCAAATTTCTACAGTTGAGATATTTAAAAATATAAATAAAGAATCTTACATTTGATGTTATTTTTATAGAGAATCAGGCAAGCAAGCACTATGTGTATTTTTGGAACTATTCTGATGGCGGTTTGTGACGTTTACATCATGAAAAGCTGGTCATTATTATTTTTTGTCCTTGCTGAAAAAAACCTTAGACTCTTCTACCCCCATTGGCAAGGGGTTCACGGAAAAATTACAAAAAAGAGGCATATAACACATTTAAATTGTAAAAAATAAAACAGGTAGGAAGGGGAAAATTTTCCTTGTAGGTCTGCTGTTACAGGGATGTTTCATATTACCTTTTAGCTCTGTCTGCCCTCTAAAATATTATCCATAGCTAAGTGACAGCAAAAATACTGTATAGATTACCCGTTTTAATTATTTTTAGGTTACAACATGATCCCCTCTACCCTACGATCTATTACATTAACTGGGTCCAAATTAATAATATAGATTTTAGTATTATTATCTGGTCAAGTAAATTACAAATCAAATAATTAGAGCTATTGACACGTATCTTTTTAAAGGGAAATACAAAAACATTTTATGTTGTAAAAATGTTACATGTTTGACAAACGAAGGGTTGGTAGCTGTTTAAAATGTTGTTACTGTCTTCTTAAAGGAATGGTCTTTACGTGTTGGCAGTAAAATTTACAAAAGATTTAAAATATTTTAAAAGATATAATGATTGGTATTACCGTATTACTTAATCAGAAGGATTGTGGAGGATTAAGGCTACGTTTTATTTTCAAAAAATAAGTACGTATGTTGAAACTTTAATTAACTTAGTTTATTCAGTTTTATTTGAACGTTAGAATAACATTTATTTGTATATGCTTGGTAAAAGACCATTTGCATTAATTTTTAAACACAGTATTCTGTTATAAGGTTTTTTGTTTGGGAGATTTGTTTATTTTGCTTACCTGCAGTAAACAAAAATCCTTAAATTTTCAATTTTCCCTTGTGCCATCACAGCATTCCTTTCGTTAATTTCTAATCAGTTTTGTGTAAAGTTAACTCTTTTTTTTCACCAGTACAGGGTAGAGTGGTAGATCTGTTATAAGGTTAAGTTAGCTATCACCATGTGCAATAGTTTGTAGTCCAACATTAAGTGATTTAGCCCTTATATCCCTAGAGTGCCTTTCTTCTTTACTGACTTGATCGGGTTCACAAAGATTTTAAATCCACCCAATTTTTAAATATTTTTTTTTTTTTACAATTTAACCTTTGTTTTTTAGCATTGCTGATCCAAGCACAGTCCGAAATTTGTAAGCACTTGTGTTTGATTGCAGTTACAGTAGATTTTCTCTCACTTAAAAACCTCTTGTTCAAACTAAAAAGTCTGAATGATCGATTAATACAGAGTTAATGGTTTGGTTTAAAACCATACATCATGCGTGCAAAATTAATTAACCATGGTACTGTAAAGGAAAAAAATAAGGAAAGCAGCAGTTATGGGTTTCTACCAAATATAGGTAAAAAGAGGTTTTTTTATGTTGGTATGGTCAAAGTGTCATTTCAGTATAGGTTTTTTGAACCTAACAAATACAAACCTATGTGATTGAATCTACTGTAACTTACCTCAAGTGTGTGCAGTATAAAGTCAAGTTAGTGAAGATAAATAAAATATAGTTATCAAGCTCCTCTTCTATTTTGTTCGCTCAGAAATCGGATAAAAAAGAAAAACGAAAAAAAATTAGTAATATTACAAAACCCCAAAAAAATGTAATGGGCAAGTAATAGATGTACTTATTAATCCCTGAGGAAGTGTTCATTTTAAGCAGTTGCTGTGTATATAGTGTATCGTGCATGTTTGAACCGCTTATGGACTTTGTTGTTTATTTTCTGTACATATCCAGATGAAATTGTTATTTATTCAGTGAATTGTTAAACCATTATTGGTTATTTTACACCAGTAAAGTCAAAATATTGTGATAATCGTGTGAGGTAGTGATGTTAAACCGTACCTCGTTTAATAGACATTTAATAGCAGATTAGTTTGCATCAATAATAGCGAGATACAACAGCATCTTCTCTTTTACCCATCCAGTGTTAGACTACATGACTACATACTTGTGTCAGTTGTATCGAGTTGAAAAAATAAAATCTACTAAATATTATATATTTTAGTATTTTGAATTTTTGTATAAATGTTAGATATTGTAACACTACACGTAAAAAGTTGGTTTCATTTGATTTACCCACTTATAAAGCAGTATTTGAAACCAATTTGTGAAATCTAATGAACTTAGTCCGCTGGACGGACGTTCAATTATGCAAATTGGTTTTCACAAAATCTTTTAACAAGTTTTGTTTCTTCAGTGTCCCGTTGTACACTACAGCAATAACTTTTGTTAGTATTACACTTTATAAGTAATATTTTGGTTGTAAATGTAGGTGAGTTCAAATGATTCTTCTTAGGGAAATGTGTTGTATTCGTCTGTATATTTTGATCAATTGAAGGATCTCAAAACAATTGTTGTGTGTTGTGTGCAGGTTTGTTATTCGTATTACGAGTGAACCTTATGTATAACTATGGATTGTATTTAATTAATTCTAAACCCTGTTAACACCAAGTATACCTTATGGTTTGAAGGCAGGGACATTTTGAATGTTTATCACTAGGCCTATATAATACTTTGCAAGCATTGTTTAACCAATTTACACTCTTTAATATTGTTTTTTGCAATTATTTAACCTTTCAGTTAGTTGTAATATTATTGATAATCAGATTTTATTTGTGTCCATACAAAATTAGTATTTTAAACTAATTGTAGATGTTACAAATATTTTATTAAAATTAGTGATAGTGTATGTCATAAAAAATACTTTTATTTTTGTATTTTGCACGAATATTTTGCTCAAAAGTGTCATATTTTATTTGAATGATGATTTAATTCCATGTTGTTATTTTACGTTTGGCAAATTTGACAATTAATAAACATTTGAAATATTTTATTGACTATTCCTGGAAGGTAGTCCATATAAATTATAATGTATAGCAAAATTGACAAAAATTTAAAAATTAAATTTTTAAAAATTTATTTTTTGGTGTCTTTTTCTCATTTAATACACATAACCTACTACTAAGCACTTTAATTTGCTTACTCAAGTAAATCTGTTGGCTATGGCATTGGCATGGGGGAAAATAACTATAGAATTACAAACTGCCATACTACTAATTAATTAGATATGATATAACTATATGACCTGGACCCGGGACCAATTTACTTTATTGTTTTGGGGTCCCGGAGGCCAACCGTTCAAATTCATATATACCGGGTGTCCCATAATACTCCCTCCACCTGGTAAATTTTTGGACGGCTGCATACATTCAAACAAGCTGCGATACAAGTTAGGGTAATGTAAAGTACTTTTTGGTGGTATTTTCAAATTCACCCCACCCACAAAAGGGGCTAAACACTTTTAAATTAAATGCCAATCCCTATCAAGAAGCACATAATTTTAGAGCTCATAAATAAAGGAAAATACTGCTGAAAATCCAACTTTGATACAAAGAATCTTCAAAAAGTTATGGCAAGAAATGTTAGACGTTAATTTAACTGGAATTTTACATTCCATCACTTTTATTTTTTCATGGGTGTAAATTTTCAAATAACCTTCAGTACACACGGGCCCATGCACATGGGTGGGGAAGTGGAGGTGATATCACCCACTTTTTAACATGATTTTGAATTTCATCACCCGTCCCGAAATAGTGGTTAGTGGGGTTTTGATATTAGCGAATTTCCCTATAGGGAAGTAGCTATTACCGTAGGTGGCAAGGTAAGATCTAGACCCGGGACCGATTTACTTTTTCATTTTGATGTCCCCAGAGGCCAAAAACACCACTCGTTCAAATTTTTATATATATATATAGGCTATATATTTATTTATATATGTATATATACGTCCGTGAACTGCAATTAATTTTTGTCATTTTGATGAAATTTGGTTTAAAGGTGTAAAGCGCGATAAACTTGAATGAGTTCGCGAACCAGCATGATCAGACCATGGGAACGGGGCTTTATGGGGGGTTTTATGGGGTAAAAATGGTTTTTTCTCACTTTTGACCCTCAAAACACAAAATTTCCCAATTTCTCTTTAGACCTTTTTAAAGAGCTTAAAAAACAAATAATTTAGTATATAAAAGTATTTTTGTTCTGTTATTGGTAACGGAGAAAATTTAAAAAATTGTAAATTTAAAATTCCCAAGTTATTCTTATGGAGAATATTGTAAAATGTAGTTTGCTTGTTTATGGATACCGTATATTTTGATCAAACTTGGCAAATTTATTTATTTTATACTAAGCTATCAGTATTTTACTACAAAAACAACACTTTATTAGTTTCCTTGTTGCAGCAAACCTAGGTACTCGTTAAACTGCGTAATGTTATTTAAATATATTTAATTGAAAATTAATTCAGACAAATGGAAATTCGCTTAGTCGGCAGGTTTTGCTGCCGCGGGGGTATTTTTAATACAAGTGGCTGTGCCTCTTATCATTGGGAAAAGTCACAAACATTTGATAAAAACCTGCTCTTAGAATAAAATTGTTAAATAAATCATAAATAATTTTAATTGGCCATTAAATACAAACTGTACAATAGGCTAAGTGATATCAAGCATTACAATTCAACATGCACAAATCAAACATCAAATAATAAAAAAGCAACATGCAAGCAAACAAAATAAAATCAAGAGTTCAAAGCAAACAGCATCTGCAAAGCAAAGCAGCAAACCATACATCTTACCACCAAGCTATACATTACTTGTTTCTTTAATCATGCTAGAGAGATCTGCTTCATAAAACTCATCCAAGCTATATAGAAGGTTTGGCCATGATTTTATGGTTTTTACCAACTTAGTTCTACCATAGATTAAACATACTAAGGGAGTATGTTTAATCTATGGTTCTACCATAGATAAAACATACTCCCTTTGTGTTGGTTAGTCTATGGTTCTACACAGGTTTTTTTTACAGATGTTGGTAGGTGATTGAAAAATTTCATACCTGAAACAGCTGAAACAGGATAACAATTCAAGACCAAACTTAACCTAGATCTGTTCATGTGAATTTCTATTCCTTGTATTATACATATGAATGTCGCTGTTTGTCAGAAATACACTCTCATTATCTTTGATTGCTACTAGCATATATAAAACATACTCCATCATACTCCCTTAGTAGATTTCATCTCATCCTTATGGAACAGCTGAAGACAATTTTATTGTTAGTTCTGTACGGTTTATGTAGAGGTCGTGTTTTGTTTACAATTTGTTTCCCGTTATTACAGCCATTTAAAACCTCGTTTGGCCAAATAATAAGATCTAATCATAAAAAATAACTCGTCCCCTAGTTATATAACCAAACAGTAAAGCACAAATCAAGAAATTAACCCTAAAATAATAGAAACAAAGTTTCGTCGACACTAGCGCCCATGTGTCACGTACATGAACTAGACACGAAAAACGTGCTTCAAAATTTACAATGGGATGAGTCTACTTGTCTACTTGTGTTGGTTAGTCTATGCTACTAGGCACTGAAAAATGTAAATATTAACAATGTCATTGCACCACACAGTTTGAACAATAATTTGCAATCATCGATCTCTATTATTACTACAGCGAGATCGATGTTTGCAATGGGCTCGGTGTTGGGCATTACATACAATTCTCACTGCTATTTTCTGCAACAGAAGAACATAAAACCCAATGTATCTCCAAAACTTGTTGGAGATATATAATCAAAGCTTTATTTATAAAGCATGGTGCTCCGAGAACCTCTATGGATCTAGAATAGAAGCATAGAAACTCGAAGCTTAGCTGTCAAAGCTGTTGCTGTCATACCACCATTCACCAGAAAAAAAATCTACACTCAACAGTCAGCGAGAAATGTCTATTTGTCCTGTTTAGTTTATGGCATTTTTGTGGTTACCAAATAGATTTTGCTCATAATCATTGTAACAGTGCATAATTTTACCATCCTAGCTTATTTTAAAACCTAAAGAAGGTGGGCCTTTTATTTACTTACTTATTCTTAAATTAAATTCATAGTAGATTATTTTCTTGTTGAAAAAACTAAACAACCCCTTGGGAAGGGCACTTGATCCTAGTATATCGTATTTGGATATTAGGTTGGGACCTGATTAATTTTGTTTCTTTACTAGTTTTTTTGGTAGGCCTATTTATATAGTTGGTTAAGATATCTTTTAAAGTATGATTTTACCACTAAGTTAACTTAGGCTATGTAAAATATTGTAGGCTAGCCCTGTACATCAAATAGGGTTCTGCCATATTTTTGCCTAAGAAAACTGAGACCAACACATCCCATTGAAGGGGTGAAAGGAACAGGACTAGGAGTCTTATCACATATAACTTAAGCTACTTGAATTAAAATAATTTTTGTTAAATCAAAATTGGCTTAAGTTTAGCACTCAAGTTATAACAACAAGGTGACTAGAGCACTTAGCGCTAGCCTGTTATGAAATTTAGCAAGTGACTTATTCATTCTATTAAGGTTATCTTGAAAAACATCCGAGGCAAGTTTACTGTTTCTGGAAACAGAGTCAACTAGAAATGGAAGTGAATGTATAAAAAACATTACCGTAGCCTAAGTTACAAGTTAGGCCTATTCTACATTAACTCTCCTTTTAACTGCAGCCTGTTAAATCAGTTCTATTACTGGGTACAGTTCCGCAGAGAACCTGCTAGGTATATATTATTTGATTAAATCTAGATTTTGATTTGGATCGATATTAAAATGGCATTAAGTTAAATTAAATTTTACCATAGGCCTATGACATAAATTTAAACAACAACAACATTAACTTAATAAAGTTGTTTGTTTATTTTATTGGTACTTTGATATTATCCGGAGGCCGGCTGAACTTTACTTTAGGTCCTACACTCATTCGAATGAAAATATCGATCGACATATGGATTATTTCATTCGATATATCGTTTTGTTAGTTAGGTTAGGTTAACCTTACCTAACTAACCAAACGATATATCGAATGAAATAATCCATATGTCGATCGATATTTTCATTCGAATGAGTGTAGGACCTTAAGTAAAGTGCAGCCCGGAGGCCACCCCTATACAGCGCGCTGCGGCGGTTAAATTAGTTTGGGTTATCATAAATATGTTAGTAGGACTTTCCTCGTTTCGTTATGAATCGAACGATACCAGATGAGTCATACTTCCGCACGCCAAATCCCCTCCAAGTAAGCCAAGGTCAGGTCATCACCTGTTACTGCCTGTATCTGAGGTATTCGGTGGGGGAAAGTAAAACTCATCTGGTATCGTTATATTCATAACGAAACGAGGAAAGTTCTATTAACATTTATGATAACTTAACCTAACATATAACATAACTTAGGCCTAAACCCAATACATACCCCATACAGAAAAACTTAAAAATTATTTGTTTTTTAAGCTCTTTAAAAAGGTCTAGAGAGAAATTGGGTTATTTTGTGTGTAGAGGGTCAAAAATTAGAAAACCCATTTTTTACCCCATAAAATCCCCGTAAAACCCCGTTCCCATGGTCCGATCATGCTGGTTCGCAAACTCATTCAAGTTTATCCCACCTTACACCTTTAGCCTAAACCAAATTTGATCAAAATCGGACAAAAATTACTGAACTTGACTGACTTAAGTTATATATATCTAATATATAAAATTCTCGTGTCACAGTGTTTGTCTGCAAACTCCTCCGGAACGACTTCACCGATCGTTATGAAATTTGGTGTGTAAATTCTGTAGGTATGCGAATCGGACGTAAACTATTTCCCGTTTCGAAATTCTTAAAAGGGCTCCGCCCCAGTGGCTCTGGAGTTTCCCATGTTAACCTTATGAGAAATGGAATTAATGAATCTTAACAGCTGTTTCAATTAAACAAGTTGGTTCTGTTCTATGATGTTCAATAGCATTAAAGTTACAAGGATTACCAACAGGGTGCAGCACTATTATTTCTTTTACATTAATTTATGACAACAGCTAATTTGCAACCAAAATGTGAGTGAGCGTAGCGAACGAACTTCAAACTGGAGGCGAGTGAGCGTAGCGAACGAGCTAACCTGAAGGCAAGTGAGCGCAGCGAACGAGCTCCAACCTAAAGGTGAGTGAGCGTAGCGAACGAGCTCCAACCCAAAGGTGAGTGAGCGTAGCGAACGAACTTCAACCAGGACGTGATTGAGCGATGCGAACGAGATCATCTTGAAAATTAAACGTAACGGTACTTTCTTTCCATCGGTCTGTCTTAGGGGAAACCTATAACTTAGGCGATACGAAGTTCGCCGGGTCAGCTAGTATACATATATAAAAATTTGAATGAATGGTGTTTTTGGCCTCTGGGGACATCAAAATTAAAAAGCAAATCGGTCCCGGGCCTAGGTCTTATCGTGCCACCTACGGTAATAACTACTTCCCTATAGGGAAATTCGCTAAAAAACTACTATTGTAGATCTTGTTGAATATACCCAATGTTTATAAAATTGTCTAAATTGATAGGGTAAATATAAAAAAATAAGCTAAATCTGAAACGGGTTTCCTCATTTGTTGTTATGAATAATTTTATCCGAGTCATTGTCATTTCTAAGGTGTTACAACTCTTAGGCATAATATCATTACTTTTGAACTTTGACCTATATCTTAAAAATCTATTGCAAATATATCGCATCCATCTATTTATCCTCAGGATTGGTCTGGCAACCTTAGCATTAAATAACCAAAAATATAATCTTCTGACTCACTGTCTCTGCCAAGTTTCTCATAAGATTTTTCCATCAGAACATTTACATCCGTGAACCGGTCACTTTTAATCATAGTTTTAACAGGATGTGATCGGCTAGAAATAATAGCTGAGGATTTTTTTCTAAACTTAACTCTATTACTCTCGGTTTCAAATGATAATGCTTTAAATCTGTTTACGTAATAAGTTTTAGAGCACTTTTTTTTATCTGGCCAAATCATTTGGTCAGGCCTTCGGTTGAATCAAGAATCAAGAATCAAGAATTTTTATTTCCATAAAATGTGGTTACATTGCTGGAAAACGTCAGTCAAATATTGTTGGCTGGGTGAATAAAAGATCTGTAGCCTATAATGTACTTAATAAGTAACAATTTTTTTGTTTTGTACTCTTAAAATAATAGTCATATATTTGTATAATTTATAACATCGAGTTTAATAATATTAATTTTTCCATTAAATTTAAACAATGATTACAGTTTCTATATTGACGTGATAGTTTGTAGGCCTAATATTAGCTGAAAGACTCAAACATTGTTGTTTGTGTAAACGGCAATAAACAAATCAATCTGTTAACAGGCCTAAAGAGTCATTGTTGGCATTTAACATAACATGTTATTTGATTTTATTTTATTTTAATACATTTTCAATTTATAGCAACTAACTTGTATACATTTGATTAGAGTTAAATTATTGTAAATTACATCCTCGATATTATCTTCAATGGAGATTCAGCATTTGAATGTTAGGTGACCTCCAAACCTCTGGTATCTTATCAGTACCCCTTCAGTTGAGATCTCAGCATAGTCATGTCACAGTTCATTTACTATTTAAACGTACGAAATGATGACTCCACTGATGGTAATGTAATAAAAAACAATTATCGTTTGAAGTTTATAATATGGTGTAGCTAATTGTGTTTCAGAGACGAAGTATTTTTAATTTTAATTTTTGCCACCTTAAGTTGTGTTTATTTTCTTTAATACCGATTTTAATTTTATACTTATCTAGCTGTTACCCTTAATAAATAACCATAAAATCTCATTGGTTAGCCAATAGCCATGTTTGTACACAGTTAAATTTTCACTGGGATAATATAATCCAATTATATTTAGTCAACTTAATTTTTACTCCTCTATCAAATCCTAAATCCTAGATAGCGATAGAGGTATCAGCAATTGAAAATGTTAATAACTCTGATTATCTGATAACGTTAAGATAACCTATATTGAGAGGTGATCCTGGTAAACAAAATATTTTTGTATTATTTAATCTTGTTTTAAGTCTTGAAAGATGCAACACACACATAAATTCAATAGCATATTAAGAGGTAAATAATTGTACCCATGTTAAGTATCATGGGTTTTGTTAATCCTTTAACAATTTTGTATTAAAAAAAGCTTTGATAAATAGCTACAAATACATTCATTAGTAGTTTTACTAGGCCTAGTCCAATATAATATGACTATAGTGTAATATCGGGAATTGGAATTCTGTAGGCTCTTAATCAGTGTTGAGTACATAAAATAAAAATTCCTTTTGGTTGAGTAAAAAGGGCTTTTGTGTTCACTGTTTGTTGTGGTAGCTTTAGAGTACTTTTTCCACCCCGGTTCACACCACATTGAGAAGCGAGAGTAAAGCTGGTTCAAAACGAAAACAACGTTATGCCACTGTTGTATTTTCATGTTTGTTTACAGTGGGAGCGATGACGCCGCAACTGTCGCCCGTCGAGGAGCAAGACAAGTTACTGGAGGAGGCCCTGGCCGTAGTGAAGGTCCAGGCATTCCAGATGAAGAGATGTCTGGACAAGAGCAAACTGATGGACGGGCTCAAACACGCCTCCACCATGCTGGGCGAACTACGCACCTCTCTGCTGTCTCCCAAGAGCTACTACGAGCTTTGTATCCTTTGGTGGCAAATGTCTAAACTATAGATGGTAGTCATCCCTTTCTGAGTAGTTTTCTGAGGAGTTTTTTGAGTAGCCTTGAATAAGAACAATTGTAAAGTCTCGTTCACGCGTCACAGAGGCTAGGCTGGATAACCTTTTTAGTCAAAATTCATGTTTTTGGCCACTGGACTATATTGTTAAGACAATAGGTTTTACATACCTCCGTCAAAGCTTAGTTCAATGATTAATATTTGCAACTCATCAAAAACACTATTAACACGTTGGGTGCTGATGACGGGAATTCCCGCAATTGCTTAACATTGAAATAAATGCAACTTTTATGTTCAAACATGTCGACCGCACGAATAGTGTTAAAGCAAAGACAACACAAACAACCCAAAAATCATTAAAATGATACGAATAACTTACACAGACATTAAGATAACGCACACAATAATACTGATTTAGTCCGGCACAATGCGGGGCTGGTAGCAGACTCGGAAACGTTACTGAGTGTGTTAACTGTTAACTGTTAATTTGAGGGGTGGCAGTTAGTACATTTTTGTTCCCAGGGTTGTTACCAGAGTACTAGCAACTAGGCCTATATGCCATTTCTGTTATATATTGGCAGCTATTTTAAAATTAAAATTATTAAGTGCTCTTCCAGTATGATGGTATTGTTTATGGTCTCTGTGCTTTTTGGTTTGTTGTTTACTGAGCCAATAAAATACAAGTGAACTTGTTTGTTTGAAACTGGACTACCGGTATATATACAAGTTTCAGTATATTTATTAGATAATTAATTTATCTGTTATTTATGTTAAGAGCTTTTATTTTCAAAATAGTACAAAGTATAATTGCTGCTGACAAAACCTCACACAAAATAGCAGAAACTAGCTAGTCAGACATCAATATTGCTGTCCTTTTTTTACAGAAGGACATAATGACATAATGGGCTCTGAAAACCCGTTTAAGCTATATATAGTGAACTTATTTTACCTATTTTTCACCTTATTCAATGTTTAGACATGGCAATCACTGATGAACTGAGGCATCTGGAACTGTACCTCCTGGACGAGTTCCAGAAAGGACGGAAAGTCGCAGATCTGTACGAACTAGTTCAGTACGCTGGCAACATTGTCCCTAGGCTGTGAGTTTACTTTGCTTTCAAACTTTAACGTTGAGGAAAAACTGATAAAGTAATAATAATTTTGTTTTATATTATCCATATATTTTATATTATAGTTTACCATATTGGTCCATTTAAAAGTTGTAGTCTCGACACCATAAGGGCAGTGCAAGTAGTTAACCAATATTTAATGAAGGGTCCTTACACAAATTGCTTACTTTTATATAGTTCAAACCTTGTTAGCGAGACACATAATCCAATACCCTTTTCCACTTCAAAGATTAAGTACAGCTGACTCCCTCTTACCTGGACACCTTTTAACCGGACATCAGATTTAACCGGACAATTTTGATCAGCACATTAGTTTAACCGGACTAGATCGGTAGGAAGCAGGCAGTACTGAAACGACTGTTCTCTTGGGAAAGATTTGAGAGACAACCACAGAAGGATTCAGTGAGTTATAGTTAACATTAGAAATCGAACAGGCTGCGTGGAACAATTAACCAAACCTTGAGCCTTAAGAGCTTAGAATAAGAAAAAAAAAGATTTGAGACCAGTGATCACGTGTCTAAATACAATGCTCTCCTAAATATAAGTCGAATAACACAGCAAACAGTCCGTTTTAACGAGTTTTTGGGGACATTCCTTTAACCGGAAAACCCGTTATCCGGACTGGTCTTGGTCCCGAGGAGTCCGGATAAGAGGGAGTCTACTGTACGTTTGTTTAAGACAATTATTAGGTGAATAAAACTAATAATTTACAATAAATTAAATTTGTTGGTTGTAGATCTATGCTATAAAAAAGTGATTTGCCTATGTAGGTTACAATAATTACTAAAAGTAGTGTAGGCCATTTCAAACCCATTTTCAAAAACTGTTTCGTCTCTTGCTAACATCTGACTGTGGTTAAACATTCAATTGAAGTATCAGCTGTTATTAAATTACAACTCACATATAAAATCTTTATATAGAAGGTTGGGCTGCATAACTGGATCTTTGATAAAAGACTTTAGAAATGAAATGAAAGTGATGGGGAGTGAATCCCTAAAAGAAATAGTTATTTGTGTAACTAGTGGTGAAAGTGGCACTTTGCTGCACACGAGAGCAATGTTTACGCACGAGCCGCAGGCGAGTGCGGAATGATCTCGAGTGCAGCAAAGGCCTTTTTCACTCGTGTTACACATTATATTTTTCCTACAGTCACTATAAAACATAAATAATTAGTTTTTCAAACACTATACAACACGTTTTTAGGTTCAGCTAGCCAATTACACAAATGGTGCCCTGGAGAAAGTAGTACCCGTGGTCCGTATCACTCCGCTATTTTTCCTCGGCAAGAAATGTGCTCCGTCTTTTGAGAATATAGTTCCGTATGTTTTTGTAATTTGAAGTGGTTTCCGCGCCTAAAAAAAATGCTTTAAAGGTATTTTCTTGTTTATTAAGACCGTAGGAATGTTTTAAAAACGTTTAAAAGAAAAGTCCAGAAAGTTCAGAAATACCAAAACTATAAACACGAAATGACAGGTTAAATCGTAGTTATAATAGTCAATCAGCTGTTCATAGTATTATTATCTTTAAGTGTTGCCAACCTATTTCCAAGCGTACACGGATTACGTGCATAATAAAACCACGCTGTTTTGTGTTGTTTGGTTGGAATCCTGATGTGCGGCAAAGTATAAACCGTGCGGCAAAGTATAAACCGTGCGGCAAAGTATAAATATGCAGCAATTAGCAGCTTTCTGTACTATAAACAGTACAGGGAAGCCAACTTTGTCGGGTGACTGTAGGAAAATGACCTTTTTAATTACCATTCGCAGGTGCACTAGACCGTAAGCATTAAAATGACACATAAATCGTAAAATCTAGTTAAGTAGGAAGGACAGAAAAGGGATGTTTTAGAGAAAACTCTGATTGTATTTGAGTATGTACATAGATAATTTCATTTCATTACATGTACGTATTTTTCTGATTTCAGCTACCTGTTGATTACTGTTGGCCTGGTTTATATCAAGACCAACACCAGTCTAAAGCGAGATCTGCTGAAAGACTTGGTGGAGATGTGTCGAGGCGTGCAGCATCCGTTGCGAGGACTGTTTCTGCGTAACTACTTATTGCAGTGCACGCGCAACGTTCTGCCTGACAACCCTGACACGACGGGGGACGACGCCGAGGGAACCGTGAGTCAGATTTGATACATAATTGTTACCTTCCTACCAATTATACTCAAACATTTTTAGCTTGGAACAGAACATTCAGAAATTATTATAAACATCCTCAGTAACCCCTTGAAATAATAAGAGACCTTATTCTTTGACCAGCAACATTCTGAGAATAGTCACAAAATAACACAAGAGAAATATTCTTGAATTATTTTGAAATTTTCTGGAAATATTCTGAGAACAAAACATGGAATTTTCCCAGAATGTTGGACAAGTACCTAGGACGTAGAATATTCCATCTAGTTTTCTAGGCTTAAAGCGGAATATCCCCAATATTTCAGGTAACCTTCGAAGAATATTGTCTTTGTTTTATGAGTTATTTTACCTTTAATTAACTACGTGTCAACGTAGATTACTGACATTGACTTTAGAATACTGAAGTAAACACTCCATCTGAGTAGACCAGCTCCAGCCAATCTTATACAGTAGACTCCATACTATTAAAACAAACAAAAATATAACAATAACAATCCATTGGTTGTAATTGGTGAAGTAAACAATGGCAACTCTATAGCCTCCCTGTGCCATGATGGACCTCCTCACGCTAAATATCACTGGCCGTCACTGTATAATAACTTGCTTGGTATATTTTTTATTCTTATTGTTTGGCAATTGTGTTTAATCTACTCGTGGATAATCGGGAGTCTACTGTAGTTGAATTTAAGCCCGTAGATATTAGTGAGGTTTTACAAATTTCTCTGAATATTTCAGATTTTACTAATGAGTAACTCTATTTGACTGTTTATAACAAAATTCAAAATATTTCCAATGTTTCTGAAGCCATTCAATTTTTCTAACATTTATTTATTGATCTGGTTAGAAACAAAATTATCTTGTGAATACTTTATTTCTTATGTCTGCAACATTGTGTTAGCTGTTATGTCAAATGAGCCATCGATGACATCAGACTTAAGATCATTTTTCTGAAATGCACATCAGCAAAACATAACTTAGTTCATACACAAGTCTGAGACATTATTAGTATGAACAGACTACTGTATGATTAGTCATATAAATATGTATTTTTATTTATACGTTTGGTGAGTGCAAAACCGTGTGTTAATTGCCTTAAGCTCGTAAAATGATGGGACAGTGTTGTTATTGTATTGGTGGACATGACGAGGTAATTTTGGTTTAATTTAACGTCAATACAATTAGTACTAGGCCTAGTTGAAAGTGAAACATCATTAGTTTAATTTATCGGATTCCATGCAAACGCTTAAGTGGTTTGTTGCAAAGTAAGTTGAATTTAACTAGATCATAATATTTTGTCTACAGCAGTACTAGTGCTCAAGCCTGCATTCTTTTGTTATGGTAGAAAACCTTTAACCTTGTCAATATTAAAATTTTTAGTAGTTTGTTCTTTAGAGTACGGTACACGTCATACTTCAAAATAATTTTTCCATTTTGATTAAATTTTTTTGAAAGTGTAAGACCCACAATCTTGGTGTGATACGGACTGGAAGCCGAGTTTGAGAAATGCTTGGTTATTGGGTAGAAGGGGAAAAATTAAAACGGACACATAATCAGTAACACTCTTCTTATCAGTTAATTTTATCTTTAAAATGAGTTAGATGATAAATTTTGACTGCCATGTAACTATGTGCTGAGTTTGCCGGACTTACTTTATTTAAAATCACATTTCCTATTTTGATAAATATATGTACTTCTTGGCAAGTTCTTGCTACAGGTTAGGGACTCCATCGACTTTGTGCTGATGAACTTTGCGGAGATGAACAAACTGTGGGTTCGGATGCAGCATCAAGGTCATTCACGGGACAAAGAGAGACGGGAGCGAGAGAGAGAGGAACTGAGGATACTTGTGGGTACGAACCTAGTGAGGCTCTCGCAACTCGAGTCCATCAACCTGGACAAGTACCGCAAGGTAATTAATTTTACGTTAAGTGTCATGAAAAGGTATAATTGTCATTAGTCAGACAGTTGAGGTATATTTACCCGGACCTCACAAAATAAAATAAATGCCATCTTGGATACAAAGAACTGGCAGAGTAATAAGGAATCTGCCGTGTTGTTGAGGCTCTTTTACTCTGCTGTGCACCACAGGTCGCTAGTTTGCGTGGGGTATAAAAGCTCCTATTTCTGCTATATATTCGGTGAACATTTCTGCAGATTGTAGCTGCGTCACCGTGAATCCAGCCCGCCGCATAGTATGAAAGCTCTCATTCTTAAAACACTTACCAAGCCACAAGACACAGCAGCATGGTATAGCGTTATGGAGCTTAGAGAAATTGAAGGTTGTTATGTTTTTATTAATTACTGATTCTTCAATCTTTTGAGCTTAAAATGGTTGATTTTTAGTTTTGGTGCAGTCAAACAATTTATTTTTGTACTACTTTTAAAATGTCTAATGATATTTTGTATTAGATATTGTATTTATATTATGTAGGAACGTTGTATTTACTGGCACTAATGTTTCAGATGGTGTTACCTGGTATCTTGGAACAAGTGGTCAGCTGTAGAGATGCCATTGCTCAAGAATACCTCATGGAGTGTATAATACAGGTAAGTCAAGAAATTCATTATTTTAACACACTGTGATGGACCCAGCTGTCCTTGATCAAACAGCTGGTCTTAGTCAGTAACAAAGCTACATGTATCTCACTCCATTCTACACTCATCCTTGCATTCATATTCAGCTTGTAATACAAATCTTAGTAATCACTGTCTGACTGAATTGCGTAGAACCTATAAAAGTACTTTGTAAGAAGTTAAGTTGTTTGATAACACTACTAAATTTGTATCAATAACAAGTATATTATTTAATGCTTTATGCAAATTGTTTTGGTCATACTCATGATTAAAAATGAAGTTAACCTTGGTAACAAAATTTATGAGTTATTGTTTCTTAGAACCCAACATGTAGGAGGAGGTTTCTTTAGCTATGTTACCCAATTTATCAACTAGGCAATCTGAGCCTATTAAGAACCTTGCAGTTTTAGTTCTGAATCTTCCTTTTGTCATGAATTTATGACTTCATTTTGTTGTCACACAGGTATTTCCTGACGAGTTCCACCTGGCCACACTGAACGCATTCCTCAAGTCGTGTGCTGAGCTACAGGCCGGAGTGAATGTCAAGAACGTTGTCATCTCGCTGATCGATCGGCTCGCCACGTTCTCTCAACGTTCCGAGGTGCTCACTCCTGACATGGAGCAGGAGATATCAAAACTCTTTGATATCTTCTCGGATCAAGTCGCATCCATCATTGAGGTAAGGGACGATTTGATAAGACCTAGGTGGGTCATACTGATACCTTATACATTGTGTTGTGTCATACATGTGAGTTTTGTTTGTCTATTTATTTATGTATGACGTCTTTTAAATTACCTACCAAACTATTTCACGGGCAACCTGGCACTCTTGCAACAAAGAGACGTAGTGTCACATTGATCTCTTAAGCTGTGTGTAGTTGGTTTTGGAGAAAAATGTCACAAACAATAGAGGTCAAAAACATGATGTATGTACCAAAGTGTGAATTGCCTAGAATTACATCTTGCTCTTAGTTATTGTAATTTCAAAACTAAACCTTTTCAGTAGGCAATTAGATGGTTGAATACTTAAGCTTGTAATGAAGAGTTTTTGATATCTTTCAAACAGCACTAGTGTAGTCTTGCTCAGATATAATAAAATAGCCTTCCTGCGCGAATCCCAGGTCTACCTGTATAACACAGTTCTGCTATTGTTGTAGTCTGGTGTGGACATGCCACCAGAAGACATAGCCTCTCTGCAGGTCTCCCTGTATAACACAGTTCTGTTGTTGTTGTAGTCTCGTGTGAACATGCCACCAGAAGACATAGCCTCTCTGCAGGTCTCCCTGTATAACACAGTTCTGTTGTTGTTGTAGTCTCGTGTGGACATGCCACCAGAAGACATAGCCTCTCTGCAGGTCTCCCTGTATAACACAGTTCTGTTGTTGTTGTAGTCTCGTGTGGACATGCCACCAGAAGACATAGCCTCTCTGCAGGTCTCCCTGTATAACACAGTTCTGTTGTTGTTGTAGTCTCGTGTGGACATGCCACCAGAAGACATAGCCTCTCTGCAGGTCTCCCTGTATAACACAGTTCTGTTGTTGTTGTAGTCTCGTGTGGACATGCCACCAGAAGACATAGCCTCTCTGCAGGTCTCCCTGTATAACACAGTTCTGTTGTTGTTGTAGTCTCGTGTGGACATGCCACCAGAAGACATAGCCTCTCTGCAGGTCTCCCTGGTCAACCTGGCACTCAAGTGTTACCCTGATAGACTAGACTATGTGGACAAAGTGCTGCAGTCTACTGTGACTGTTCTGCAGCGACTGGGACTGACCACGTGAGTATCCTCCTACAGTGTTCATATTCATTTTATGTATTGATTAAGTAAAGTATAATTTTTACTGATTTTGTGTTAAATATTCAAACAGAAAAAAAACAAAAAAATTTAATTATTTTAAATAAGGCCTCTACATCAACTTTAGTTATTATGTGCATCTATGATATAACACTAGACAAAATAAATTGCATAGTTTAAACCGGAGTATTACACTCCACTACATTACTCTCTGTTACAGTGTGGTGTACTCCAGTGGTGTTGGCAAGGAGATGATGCACTTGCTCCGTCTACCAGTCGACCAGTACAACAACGTGTTGACAGTGTTGCAATTGGAGCACTACACTCCGTTGTTGCAATGTTTCGACTACCACGGCCGCAAGACATTGTCCGTTTACCTCATCAACAACGCACTTAACAGTGACACCTATATCAACACACCAGAGCAGGTAGCCTAATATTCTGGCATTGGTCTAAAGGCCAAACAGTTTTATAAATTTTATTTAAAAGATTGGCAGTGTCTTAAGAGACACATTTCCTTTTATGCTAAAAAAATAGTGGTATTAGCACTAGTTTTGCAATAACATGCTTTTTTTGGGGAATGTTGCTGAAAGTCAACAGTCCCGGAAGATCAAATAATTTATACCTGTGCCGCTAGGTCAAAAACTACAATGTTTGCAGTGTCTGTAGATCAAAAGTTCCAGTAAGTCAAATAGTACAGCCCGAGCTAAAAACGTAGTCTATGTTAAAGCAATTGACTTATTGGGAATTTGACCTAATGCAACAGCAGTTTTAATATAACGAAATAAGGTAAAATACAAGTTCAGTTTCGCTGAGTCAACAGTGCCGGAAGATCAAAAGCAATAAAACAAAACGTCGATTCGATTCAGTGTAAAGTAGACCTCCTGCAACGCTTACTACACCAACAAAACTCGCTTTTAGTTACTTCGTGTTTTGTCATAATTAGAATAGAGCTAAAATTATCATATTTGGTACATAGCTTATCTATTAATGCTTCTTGCCAACTGTTTGGTCAACACTGTAAATAGGTATAGTTTATGTAATGAAAAGCCTTTCGTCAAAATTTGTGGCATAAAATACACGCAAGGACGATCTGAAAATTTCTGGTTATTATATACGTTTGTAAAAGGAGATCCATTTAATTGTAGAACTATTTTATGAGTTATAATGTAGTCTACATATAAACTGTGTAAATGTATTACGCCTCGGAAGGGTTGAAACCTGTCCAAACTATCATATATATTATTAAAACGTAAATGGGATTTTTTCACGATTCTGAATCAACCAGACGATGGATTTTCATTAGTTTTGTGTTGAAAGAAAGATAATTTTGAGAACTAGGGAATGTCAAAGCCATAATTATAATTAAGGGTCCCAGTTTTTTAGAAATTAAGTTTTATTTTTAAAAAGTCTAGCAGCCGACGCTAACCTTCTAAGCCAGCTTTTAGTACAATATAATTTGCTTAACATAACAGCTGTAAACATTCAGCATCTGTGACACAAATTCAGCATTTGGAAACAAATTTAAAGATATAATTAGAGTTGACTTATTTATACTATGTGTAATGCTGACCATTGATACATTCAATTCTTAGGTATGAGGATGGCAGATTAATTAAATATGCATAGTAAAATAAAAGGATGTTCAAATTATTTTTTAAAGGAATCTTTGTAATCATCGATTTGTTTTAGTCCCATATAATTTGTTTTAACTAACAGCTGGTTGAATTAAGGTAAATGCACCAGTAGCTGACAGTGCTCCAGAAGCTGACAGTTTGAGTTTCTTAACATTATAATGTGGTCTCTTAAAAATATTTACACATGATTGCATTGTTAGAAGAACATATGTTTATCCTTGATCTGTTTACAAAAAAATCAGTGAAATTTAGCCCATACTCGCGGAATGGTGGTGGTTTGAAAGCGACCCTGTCTGTACACATCACATTTAGTCGATTCCCTTAATGAAATTGTTAAGAAAGTAAGTTTGGTTTTTTGTCATTTCGCTAAATTTCTTAAATAGTATTAATGATTAGGCTCATTATTTTTATCAATTATACCTTTGTTGACAATTTCATGAAAAATTGGGGGGTTAGGGGTTTTGGATTTAAAATTATATCAATGTCAGGCTTTGGTACACAAAAGCCATACAAGTTCCACTAGCTGACAGGGGATATTTGCTACTTGCACAATATTAAATTGGTTTTACCCATCGACATTTGCATGTTATTTATAATTTATGTGATCTCACATTTTTATAAAATGATTTTACTTTTTTAATTTATAAGCCAAATTATCTTAAAAAATGTATATTTTTTTAAATATATATAAAATATATGTATAAAAATTTATACAATAACAAAAAAATATATAGGTATATATTTTTTAATGTAAATATTTTTTATTTTAAAATATGTAAAATAAATTTTTTTAATAACGTTTTACATTATTTTATAATTTAATTATTAAGTTAGATTGTATTCGTCTTATAAATTATAATACCCTTAGGTTTAGCAGCTAGTACATTTATAGTGCCAGTGTCAGCTACTGGGACAATTGACAGTCAGCTACTGGTACAAGCACTTTTTTCACTGTCAGCCACTGGAACACGTACAAAGGTTGAATTAAGTTTAAAAATTTTATAAAATATATTTAAAAACCCCTTTTTGTATGACAAATTTGAAAACTACACTAAATTTAGAATCACATGAAATCCGTAATATCTCTTTAGTTCCTATTTATTCAAAACCACGGATTATTAAGTGCGTATAGTTTCTTATACTGTCAGCTACTGGTGCGTTTACCTTATAACTATTAGGTTTTTGGAGAATTTCCCATATAGGGAATAAGCTATTACCGTAGTACTTATGGTAACACCTGGACCCGGGACCGATTTCATTTTTCGTTTTGAGCTCCCTAGAGGCCAAAAACATCATCCGTTCAAATTCATATATACAGGGTGATCAACTCAAGGAGGCCACCATTGGGAAATCGGAAACGGTAAGAATTAGAGAAAACATTAAATGGGGAACATTCCTTTATTTTTTGTGTCAGTTAAAAATATGATTTTAGTTTTTTTATCATGTTTTCGGATAGAATATGCAATTTCAAAACTTTTTTAGCCTTGACCCTTTTCGATTAACCCACTCGTTTAGGAGTACAGCCTATGGGAAAATGACTTCCGGTGTACATTTTACATCATGTAGCTCCTAAACGAGTAAGTTTAGAGCAAAATTGCAAAAAGTAAATTAGTCTTAGAATTGCATCTACATTCCTTAAAGACTATAAAATAAAAAGTTTTCCACTTTTCAAGTTTGCTGCCATTTCTTAAATAATATAATTCATATTTTTTATGAATTTTATGGTCTTTTTTGAATGTGGATGCAATTGTAAGACTTTTTTACTCCTCGCATTTTTGCTATAAACTTACTTGTTTAGGAGCTACATGATGTAATATGTACACCGGAAGTCATTTTTCCATAGGCGGTAACTCCTAGACGAGTGGGTTTATCAAAACAATTTCAAGGATAAAAAAGTTTTTAAATTGCCTATTCTATCCGAAAACATGATAAAATATAGGGTTCGATAAGAAATTTCAAAATTGGCCGCCATTTTGGAAAATGGTGGCTGAATTTCAAAAAACTAAAATCATATTTTTAACTGCCACAAAAAATAAAGGAATGTCTTCCATTTTGAGTTTTCTCTAATTCTTACCGTTTCCGATATCCCAATGGTGGCCTCCTTGAGTTGATCACCCTGTATAGCCTATATTTATTTATTTATATATTTTTCAGGGGGGAACCCCAGGACCCCCCTCCTTTTTGGGGGGTATTCCATACCCCCCAGGCCCCCGGTGACCCCCCCAAAATATATGTCTAGGACCGCCCTTGTCTTCTTTACCTATAAAACACATGGGATACAGCCTTTCTTCACCGATCACGTAATGTGTGATTTTCTATAAAGTGTTGGAAAAATAAAAGGTAAAATAGATAGAATACAGGTGTACTGTATGTGGTTTACACACAAATATTCATCAAACTGTGTGATATTTTGTTATTGCAATGAACAATTTGGGAGTATCGTATTGTTTAAGTCGATGGAAAATCTTTGTTGATCTTGTTTTACAAGCAAACCAAAAATATACAGTAGTCACCACTCTATGCGACATATTCTAACCAGAAAATTGTAATCGTATGATTCTATAAGCATTGGTAGGATTGCAAAGTACTACACAAACATTATTTCAAGGGTAATAACAGTCACAATTTCCGCCGACTTTAAAAGAGTCAACTAAAATATTATACTAATGGACACACAACTAAATGGAACAACTAATGGAACAACTCACGATGTACATATAACAGTTCGATGTAAGCATTGAGTATACACGTCAGTGGATACGTGTATACCCAATGATATAAGCAACGGCGCAACGGTTCTTGCAATTTATTGCTTATTGTTTTTTAGAGTTTTTCGGACTTACTCACACTCGTATAAGGTTGTCCACGTTTGTCATTGATAATGTAGCCATGTAACATGGTTACACCCATTGTCACGAATATGTTTACAAGTTTTCCGTCTGTTTTTGAATAGCGATACATTTTTTCACATACTTAAGAACCATCTGATTTTGTGCATTACATGTTCGTCTCAATTTTATTTGCTTTAGTAGGCATTCTTTTGGTTGATGAGGACTTCAATCGGTCCTTTCAATGATTGCTCATGAAATATAGTACTTTGTCCATTAATTTTTATTGTTTGGTAAAATGGATTAAATTATCCAGCAAACCCAAATTGAAATAGTAAATATAGTATTTCAAACAAATCAGTAACATGTTAATAATGTAGCCTACATTATTTCCTTGAATTGCATAACAGCAATTAATTGGGCTGATCCTAATATAAATAAATCAATATGTTCTTCATAGGCATAACATGGGTTCATAACATGAGCCGCTGGGGCTGAGCCCAAGGGATTTAAAAATGTAAGGTTGGTCTGCAAATTTACGTGACACGCTCTCTCTAATGAGACATGAATGGTCAAAATCGCCTAAGAAATGCGGAGGAGTTCAACGGAAAAATTTCGTGTTGGCGTTATACATTATGGTTGAAAAGTTATTATCACTTTTTTATCCCTTAAGAGGGATGGACCACAAAGACTAAGACAAAGTTCTTATATAATTGTAATACTATTTTACTTGTTTTTGAAATGGCGACCATACAAATGTATGCATTTTAAGCCAAGTATGAATGGAGATGAGTGTGTGATGAGTGGAGCGATCTTGTTGTCCTGTTAGTGACTTAAGGCCGACGTAATCCTTAGACACAGCTGTTAATTAATAGTCCATACAGTCAATTAATAGCAGCAGAGGTCAAGTTTGGTAGGTATCAAATTAAAGGGTTTATACATAAAAATACATTGCCGCAAACCCAAACTCAAACGATGATGATGATAATAATGTTAATGATGTAGCTAAAACGTATCGTTTGAAATTTAACAGCTGAAAATAAGTGAAATAGAAAAGGTTTTGGTTAAATCCATCAAATTGTAATTGGACACTAGTAAGTACTAGTGCACTTTTTGCTACTTCCCCCCTTCGGTTTCATGTATTCCTCTCAATTAGTTCAAACCTAGGGGGATTAAACATTAATGTTAATTAATGTTAAATCCTCCTAGGTTCAAACCGTAAACACCCAGATCGAAACTCGCCTGTCGTTATTTTAACATCGCCTTATTTTTTTTACTATATTTTTCAAAAAAGAAAGATTATATTGATTTACTTTGAATTTTAAAAATGTTAACGTTTTATTTTATTAAAGATTTATGGTGATACGTAAATATTGTGGTGTAGTAAAGTATATTATATTGTAGTTAAGTGTTAAATGTAGAAATTTTAGGGTGAATCGAGATGAATCTTTTTTTATAACATGGGTCTCTCCTACCTTAACATACATACCAAGTTTCATAGACATCGGTTGAAAAAGTGTAAAGATAAATACGGTATGTAAAAAATACAAAATGGCGGATATCTGGTTAACGAAACGATTTTGGAAAAAATCTTGTCCTTCATTTTCTGTTTATTTTGACCCAAGGAATTACTAACTAGGTAAAGTATCTCTCCGCTTATTTTTAACACCCTGTTTATGATGTATTCTTATTAATATAAGTGAAAAATGTAAGCTGGTAATACAGAAAGATGTTTTATATATAATATGAATGTACTGGTAATCTGTATATTCATCTTTTTCTTGCCCTTAGAACTGTAAATTAAAAGTCCACTCGGCAGTCGCATCGTACGATGTAGTTCTTTCCATGCGTTGCGAAATGCTAAATTTGCCGTCCTCTTCAACCCAAGTTATCTATTGAACCACTTATTGTAAAAAATTTTAAAAAAATATATTTTACGCATCGCACTTTTAGCTACAACTTTGCCACAGACAAAACATCTCTAACCCAAAAACAAAAAAAAATCTCGCATGCTAACTTTTTCATGTTAGAAATCACGATTTAAAAATATTTCACCATACATATCAATTTTTATTAATTAGATTGGTAAATAATTAAAGTTCCAACAAAACTGTCATCGAGTAGGACTAACCAAGAAGCTCTGTGCCAATTTTCTAAATTTTAGCACAACTTTAAGTACACCAAAACACGAAATTATTGAAGTCATGCGTCGAGAGGACTATCGCTCTTTTTAACAGATTATACTTTTGACCTTCCGGCACTGTTGACTCAGCGAAACTGAACTTATATTTTATCTTATTTCGTTATATTAAAACTGCTGTTGCATTAGGTCAAATTCCCAATAAGTCAATTGCTTTAACATAGACTACGTTTTTAGCCCGGACTGTACTATTTGACTTACTGGGATTTTTGATCTACAGACACTGCAAACATTGTAGTTTTTGACCTAGCGGCACAGGTATAAATTATTTGACCTTCCGGGACTGTTGACTTTCTGCAACGCGTCCCTTTTTTTGTCCCAAACGAGCCGGTAAATGAGTATCCTCTGTATCTATCTTTGCAAGCTAATGTTTTGATTCTCCTATGAATACATTTTGCTTGGATAGCAAATACAATTTCTAGTTGGTAATCAGTATAGTGTTTCCTGTACAAAAACTGTATTTTTTTTAGAAAAGAGATTTCCTGTATCCCTAATGTTTTGTAGGCCCACAACAATTCCACCTATGATAAATACGAGGCGCATTCAATGCTAAAACCCACACTTTGGCAAGACTTATAATTAAATTACATTATGGGTGAGGTTGTAATAAACATATTATACTGTACATTTTTTAAATTGTCACGGTATTTCAGTCTTTGTACATGGTTTATTTACCTAAATTGAGCCATTGAATCCTATGGTCATTAATACTTTTTGAAATCCATTTATTGGGAATTTTTTTAGAAGTAGTTTTGCAGTTGAAATGTTCTTTTGTGAGTTGGTTTGTATTGTATGAAGATCTTACGTTCTGGATTCTTGGGTTATGTTGGTCATCATTACATAATAAATCATCCCGACCTTGTAGATGGAATCATGTCTGACTGAATTTAAAAAAATAGTTAAGCCTATCTTCTTACACTAAATCACAAGCAAAAGTAATGAAAAATAACTAAAATCCAAGATTTATTTTGTAGGTTGACACAGTGCTTACCATGATCAGCACTCTTGTGGAGGATCAGGCTGACCAACCGCCTATTGAGGAAGAAGATCCGGAGGACTTTGCTGATGAGCAAGGACTCCTGGGCAGGTAGGTTGGCATCACTGACAATGAACTAATAACAATAAGTTAGTTTATTAAAAAAAGTATCCTGTCTAAATTTAGAAGTTTTTTTCTTTGATCAGCTTTTGATGAGAAATGAATGACAAACCGTTAAGGTGGAAGCTGATGGGATGATTTAGTATTTATTGATTTGCATGTATGGTTATATATTTCACTTTTTTTATCCATGACTCCCTCTTGGACAAATTGCTAACCCTTTACCGAGCTAGTAAAAATTCAAACTTTGAAAATTAAAATTGGATAGCTAGTGTTCCAAAGTCACAAATTGTGTGTGTAAAATAAGTAAAGTACAGTACTATACAAAACGATAAAGGAATGTAGGAATAACATTTGCTTACACAGACTGGAGCGAGATAGAGCTTGGTAAAGAGGTTGTGACTCTTACAAAATTACGAACAAAGCGGTGTAAGTGCTCCAGTCTTACACAGGATCCAATCAAGAAGGATTCTACTGTATTTTGAACTTATGTTCCTCCATTAAATTTAGCCTTAAAGACGTCAAAAAAAAAAAAAAAATTAAAGCCTAGTTAACATTTTGTAGTTATTTAATTCAGTTCAAGTGGTAGAGGGTGGGGTTTTGGTCCTGGGTCGATTTCCTGCCAAACACCGATGACTGTGTGATTCTGCCACAACCCTCTTGGCCTAGAAGTATTTTGTAAAACGGTTCCAAGCTAGAGCCTTGCGTCCTAGAACATCAAGGATAGGATAAAATTCAATTTAAGTCACAAACAGTCAAATAGTTGATCCTGATTATCAATGCAGTTAATAAAACTTAATCTAAATGTCATGATTGACAGGTTTATCCACCACCTAAAGTCCGAAGTGCCAGACCAACAGTATCTCATCCTCAGTACAGCCAGGAAGCACCTAGGAAGTGGAGGTCGGCGCATCCGACATACGTTGCCACCTCTGGTGTTCCAGGCTTACCAACTGGCGTTCAAGTACAGTGCGATGAGCAACGAGGTAACATTTGTTTTGTCGTCAGAATTACTTAGTTACTTGATGATGAGTACTCATTGGTTATAAGGGGTATAGATTGTGACATTGGTTATAAGGGGTATAGATCTTGTCATTGGTTATAAGGGGTATAGATCTTGTCATTGGTTATAAGGGGTATAGATCGTGACATTGGTTATAAGGGGTAAAGATCAGTGTCATTGGTAATAAGGGGTATAGATCGTGTCATTGGTTATAAGGGGTATAGATCTTGTCATTGGTATTAAGGGGTATAGATTGTGACATTGGTTATAAGGGGTATAGATCTTGTCATTGGTTATAAGGGGTATAGATTGTGACATTGGTTATAAGGGGTATAGATCGTGTCATTGGTTATAAGGGGTATAGATCGTGTCATTGGTTATAAGGGGTATAGATCTTGTCATTGGTTATAAGAACTATGCCCCTTATAACCATGACACAATCTATGGATGGCATGTAAGGACAATAATGCAAGAAAGACAGCAATCATTCCTAACCACTCTTCTACTAACCTGAATATGTACGGTTAATTTAAAAATTAGCTCCTTAAAATTGAACTGTAAAAAAAAACAAGAGCTACGATAGTGAGAAAGGGTTCTTGTGCCATTAGTTAGCCCTTAGTTAGGATAAATAATGTTAGATGTTTTCACCAGAGCATGAAACAGGTAGTTGCAAAGATAATAAAAAATAGCAATAGCTTAAATTACTAAAATGTCACAAAATGTGCAATAGTGTGCAGAATCATGTTTTTAACTGGCGGCTGTTTTAAATTTTATTTGATTATCATAAAAGTGGAAATGAGTAGATAAAACCAACTGCTGTAGTTCTCGTTGGTGGGTCAATGTAAAATTTCAATGTAATAGGAATCTTAGAGAAATTCTGCTAGAAACCTTCATTGTTCTGCTGTAATCAAAGTTTACGTCGTAGGATGAGAACTGGCAGAAGAAGTGCACCAAGATATTCCAGTTCTGCCACCAGACGATCAGTGCGCTGTGCAAGGCAGAGTTGGCAGAACTTCCCCTGAGACTGTTCCTCCACGGAGCTCTAGCCATTGGACAGATCAAGTTTGAGAACCACGAGAGTTTGGCTTACGAGTTCCTCTCACAGGTAATTCACAAAATGTCCATAGATAACTTATAAAAACTAGTTACACCTCCCTGATATCTCCAACCTCATGGAAAAGTCCCCTATATTTGAGTTTGGTTCTAAATGTCCTGGAATCCGCAGAATTATATAATGCATTTATCTAATTTTTAGACAGTCCTTCTCCATAAACTAAACATTATGCCACGTTGCATCCACAGGCGTTCTCCCTGTACGAGGATGAGATCTCAGACAGCAAGAGCCAGCTGGCGGCCATCACACTGATTGTTGCATCGTTTGAGCGCATGACGTGCTTCGGTGAGGAGAACGCAGAGCCAGTCCGCACTCAGTGTGCGCTCGCTGCCAGCAAACTGCTCAAGAAGCCAGACCAGTGTCGCGGCGTTGCCACCTGCTGCCATCTGTTCTGGTCAGGGAAAACCAACTCCGGTGAAGAGGTTAGTGTTTAAATATCTCTGTTTCAAGTTTATTGTGAAAGCTTAGCAGCGTTTATTTTATATCAGACACAAAAGTAACAGAACAAATCTTCCACTTACAATCTATGCAAGTATAACTCAACCAAAACAACTCATTGCTACTCTTGTCCACTTTACTTATTTGTTAAGTACAACCTATTACTAATTGTATGATTTTTTCAGCTGCACGAAGGCAAGAGGGTTGTAGAATGTCTAAAAAAGGGAGTGCGAATCGCCAGCCAATGTATGGACATGTCAGTCCAGACTCAACTGTTTGTAGAGTTATTGAACCACTACTTGTACTTCTACGAGAAGGGCAATGATCAGGTATGTTGCTTATGAAGTTGTTAAAATCACACCTTTGCTCTCATATGATTTAAACAAACATTATAACAAAATTACTGCAAAGAATCAAAAAAATTGAATGTTAAATCCAGTTTTCCACTTCCAGATGCATGCACACTTACTTAATAGTTGAGGGGGGGGGGGGGAGCACAAAATCAGACACTTGTTTGTTTGGTGTATTTTGCTTGAAAATTGGTTGTAAATTGAGTGAATGGCCCAGGTTTTTTTTAACCTCTTCTAGTTAATAACATGCAGATCCACTTCAATGAAGTATCTCGAGTCCTATTTTTACAATCTAAAATACATTTTAGATATTCTTTGCGCAACAGCTTGTTCAAATAGTTTAATTTCCAGATAACTGTGGCAATGCTGAATCAAGTTGTCATCAAGATCAGGGAGGAACTGCCTAACCTCGAGTCTAACGAGGAGACAGAACAAATCAGTAAGCATTTCTCCAACACTATCGAGCATCTTCGTAACCGCATCGAGAGCCCGGAGTCAGAAGGAGTTAACTACGAGGGACTGGTGTTATAAATCATCACAAACTATAATAAATGTCTGAGGAAGTAGGTTTACGAACCGCGAGAGTTAAAAACTATTTTGTTCTTCAAGAACTTATTTAAATGTTTTAATATTTTATACGTATTTAAACTAAGTTATACTTATTGTTTATTGTGCTAAATGTATTAAACAGATCTGAGTATTGATTTTTAAATTATATATTTTTAATTGTATATACATAAGATCATTTTTGCATGGAAATTCGAGAAGCAATTAGGGTTGAACAGATTTTTATAGTAATCACCAGTAGTGAATTGGTTAATGGGACGGAGACGAGTAAACGTTCCTCCACTGGAAAACTAAGACTACACCACTGGTGATTACGGATTAATGTATGGAACCAGTTCTTTACTATTTATAGCTGTATATTTTATTTTCTTTAAATTATGTTTGTTCTCTTTTATTTCTGTTGAAGAACATTGCATGCGTCTATAACCCGAGGATTATAATGTTCTAATGGTAATGAAAGTCTGTAACTTTCTGTCTCATAATTTTAGTTGAACACATTTTCTATGAGATAATTGTGCTTTTAAAATTGTTATATTATACAGTATTTTATATCATATAGCAATTTATGTTTTATTGTTAAACACATATTAATTTGAATCATTGTTAACAAATGTTTGCAAAGACATTTCTCTTTCCCATAAGATTAAAATTTGAATTAGAAATTGCTGGACAATGCCTTGCTTGTTAGATATATGATATTTTAAAGTAATACATGATGCTTGTTGTTTTGTTATTTACCCGGAATCAATGGCCAATAAATCAGTAATGTCCAAGTAAGTACTATTACTTAAAAAGATCCGACTACTTTTAGAAGAAGTTTATAACATCTTATTCCTTAAACTAACCAAAACTAAAACGTGATCTATTTAAAAAAAAATTTTAAATAGGAATATGGAAAATCTGTGTTTTTTTAGGTAATTTACTTGTTATTTTCCTTAGAATTACAGAATGTGAGATTTTATGTATTAGGCCAACCGGTATTGCGTTAATCCTGTTATATCAATGTACAGATAGATTAATCTTTGTAAAAACTTATTGTATTGTAATAAAACTATATTACGTTATTGCATTTTTTTTTCTTATCAATGTACTTTATATTAATGGTTTTCCCTGTAACATCCCTTTTCCAGCCGTCCTACTTAACCGATTGTTTAAATTTAGATGTCATTTTCAAGCTTATGATCTTGCTAGCTAGAGCACCTGTGAAGGGTAGCAAACAGGTAATTTAATTTAGGGCTTCGCCCTCCTCAAGTTTAATTTATTTCTAGAGTCCATTTTCAAAGACCCAGTTACGCTGACCGACTTTCCTTATGACAGTTTGATTGTGAATTGCAATTTAACAGCTTCAGTTCAATCTTTAACCAAACAGATAATAAAAATGTATTTTCAATAGGCTACTTTGACAACTGTAGTTAAGGTCTAAAATCAACAAATTTTTTAGTTCTATTCGCCTAATAACTGTACTAAAGAAGCATAATCTCGAAAAGGTAATTGGGTACCCTATTGCACTGGATTCATTTTGCCTCAGATACAAGTTTTGGACACAATTAAACATGCTGCTTATTGTTCCTAGAAAGCTTTATTGCTCTTCTAGTGACTACCAAATAGCCAATAATTGATAAATTTGTTTACACCACACTACAATATTTTGACAAACTCCCACGCAAGGATTTAGTCCAGAAAACAGCTGTTTGCCATCAACTTAATCAAATGGGGTTTGATTACATACTACTGTACTGTAATGAGTTTTACCGGATACCAATCAGCTGATTATACTATATTTGGGTGGCAATGAGTGATTATAAACAAAAAAATAACCTCTCCTAGAGGTTATGACAAGTGATTTTTAGTCCTTTAGTTGGTGGTAATATATAAGGATTTGTTCAGATTTAGTAGCAAGGCGTAAACTATGGTACGTAACTCCTCCAAAATGTGTGTACCGGACTCTTATGGTGATCCCGTATTCGAATTCGTCTCGCAAGGGAACGCCCAAACTCATCCGGTAAACACTTATTTTCAGGACGCCAACTAGTAACTTAATATACTATTTTGTTTCGCTTGAAAGGCCAATTCTATGGATTATAACTACAGTATCAACATACTAACTATTTATCCTGGATTACAAAATTTTTACTGAAAAGATATTAATATCATATTGCATTTTTTGTAACGCTCTGAGAAATCAAATTACTGTATTATTTACCTATTATTCTCACTTCACATTTTTTTACTAAAGTATAGGGCCTTGAGCATTTTTAGTGTTTTTCAATGTTTCAAAATCAAAACAGCAGTGTTGAAATAATTAAGTTGTATTTAAAACACCGGTAATAGAAATAGTTAAGTAACAGAAACAAAGCCTTTATTGGATAATTATAATTATTTTTTGTTACGAACATTTGCAACTACATGGGTTTTAATCTTTTCTTCCATTAAAATTACAATCAACCAATAACCTTCCTCAATAAATTAATGTTTCAAAATGTACATTGTCAAGATATAATTTTGATTTTACAAAAACTGCCCCATGTAGCTGAGAATGTTTAAAAAAATTGACTACTAAGAACTATGAGTATTTAGTGGTGATCGTCCAGTGAAGGTTTGCCGTAAGTCTTCTCCCACCATTCTATGTACTCCTTCTTGCGCTGTTCTCTGCGAGCGAAGTATTCGGGATACTGAGCCTTCTCTAGTGGATGCCAGTAGTCCAGGACCCAATCCGGGGTGGGCACGTACCTGTTGTAGGCACATCCGCCAACAGAGTCCGGGACTAAAAACAATGGTCAAAATCAAATTGGAGCCTTTCAACATACAACAAATTAATCAATATTTTAAGAAAATCCGAAACGGTAATTTTTTTTATTACATTTACCCAGGACTTGTTGAAGGATTTCTCTATACAAAATAAGCTTGCTAGGCGGTTAAGATGGGTTTGTGGGTAATTGGCTTCAGTTGACTATAGTAAGGAAAATGCCTCATACTATGGTACCAATCAACAGCCCTAAAATTGACTCTTACTTTTAGAAGTTAACCCTTACTCTTGTAATATTGGATCATTGACCACTTCATTGTAATTGGATTATCTTTGGCATTTTTTAAATTTCATCATAACTAGCTTTGAAGTGAAAAACAACAAAACAACTAGGACTGAAAGTGAATGACTTAAAAAAAGAAAGAAAAACAATATGTATACTTTTACGCTTTATCAGAAATCAATAAAGCATATCCCACAATGGAATGGCCTCTAGAGATCGTCTGAATTAACCTATAGTGGTTTGTATTACCTTGTTACTGTCCAAAATGAACCTTTAGGAAAGTGGGAAGGATCGTTTTGGACAGTAACATGGTAACAGTAACAAGCCACATAGCATAGTTCAAGGCCCTCTCCGAGGAGATGGTTATGAAAGATAAAAATGTCCTGCTGAACAATGAGACGTTTAGTTAGAACATACCTATAACTCTTTCTTGGGTGTTGATTGGTAACCCAAGATTAGGCCTACCCAATAAGCTGGGGACAGCAAGAAAACAATATTGTTACAAAATCACTCAACATAATAACTGTATACTTACATTTTTTTGGCTGATAGTGACTGTTCTGGAAAAGTTCTTTGTCAGCCTCATCCAACAGTAAATTGGCTCTTACAGAATCTTTGCAATTTATAATTTCGTCAAATTTTGCTCTGGTTTTAACAGCTTCAACTCTGAAGTCGGCCCTGGAATTAAAATTGTCTTTCGGTAAAAACATGTAGGTAAGTTTGTTAGTATTTGCCTGTCTATAACTTAAAATATATTTTATTTTAATTTAGTTTTAAAATGCAATAGGTAACGTAATAAAGTAGTATTCATTTTGATAGCCCCTGGACTACATATGTCTTTTTAGGCTTACCTCCGTCATAATCCAAAATTGTGTCTAACTTTCAAAAATATCAAAATTAAACACATAATACATTACATATCCCCGACACGGGACATTTAAACATGAAACATTAAGATAGTGTGACACAGCGACGGTTGTAGGTAGACTCTACGCTACAGGGTTATAGCAATATTGCTTTGCAACGAAACATGTCAGCTTTGAATAGGCTAATTGAAGTTAGACACAATTTTGGACTACTGACCTCAAGCCTTAATAATAATAAAGGTAACATTTTACCTGAATAGAAAACAATTCAAAATCAAGATGAAGATGTATCTCATCCCCCATCCCCATGAAGGGATCATTAAAATTAAGAAATAACACAATCCTAAATGTCTATTCACCAGTCTGCAATTTACTGGATACAGTAACTTGAATTAGGCCTAGTCCTTAGAGCCTATTTAAATCTACACCCATCGTCTGGATGCTGGGCTCCATCCTCAAACTATTTTACACTATATTTGAGGCTAGAGCTAGAGAGTTGCGGGATAATCACATAGCTAAAGCCATTGATTGGTGGGATTTGAACCCAGGAACTCAAAGACCGTAGCCCCAAGCTCTACCAATTCTTGGCTTGCTGCCCAATCATTAAGTACATACATTCTACAAGATCTATCTGGTAGGCCTACTGACCAACTTTGGTATAATACGGAGGCCACATAATTTACAGCATATTTTAGCGGCAGGTGGTTATGTTAGGTTGGGCTATCATAAAGATTGTAGGACTTTCCTCGTTTCATAATGATGAGTCATACTTTCTATTTATGATAACTCAACCTAACATAATCGCAGAGCCTTCTGTATAAGCGTGGCCTCCATATAGTACCAAAGTAACTTACCCTAACTTTGTTAATAGGCCTATTTTTTTTATTTTTTATTTAGGTACCGTAGGCCTAATATTTCATATGATAAAATTAAAATCGATGAAATGTTAATACCAAACCAAATCAAAATTGATAATATCGATATTTAATCTGCATACCGCAGGTTCTCTACGGAAATGTAAAAGGCTTTAAGTTAAACTTACAGTAGCGCAGTGAACCTGAGATTTATTATAGGATTGAATATTGATAACTAATTTATCTGTTTTGATTAATAGGTGTAAATAGGCTATAGGATTTAAGGTAAACTTAAGTAGGGTTATAATTTATAAATAGTTCCAGGTTCCAAACAAAATAGACCAGATAGCCTAGTGATAGGAAAGCTAGCATTCAATCAAAAGGTTGCTAGTTTGGTTCTAAAATGAATCTCTGGACTAGTGTTGGGACATCGAACCAGAAACATCGATCTTAGTATCGATAGTCATATCGGCCTTAAAACATCGATGTCAAAAAAATATTGAAGTCAAAATATCGATAAATAACGGAGAAAAACATTGATATTGAGTAAAACATTGATCAAATGCTAAATAATTAAAAATATCATTTAGGTCTATATTTTGTTAGTTACAGCAGAATATAAGTTTAAATAGGGTATAACTTAAACCAAAAGAGTTTGCCTCTCAATGTTTTCTTTGTAGGTACTTATTGGACTTATCCCAAAAGGGCCGCTTACCCCAAATCTATATTAACACAGACAATCGTGGTTTAGACTAAGTTTTAACCTCATATTAAACCTCAGGCTTAAAACTAATTAGAGAAAAAATTACTTCCGATGGCCGTGACAAGTTATGGTAGAAAATTAATATTGGAGTAAAATATACTAATATAGCCTATAAGCTATTAACTTAGGCTAGCAAAAATATTGGAGTAAAATATCGATACTAAAAATATATCGAAAGAAGCTATCAATGGAAAAAACATAAACTTTCGGCTTCAAAACATCTATATTTTCTATATATAGACTATCGATACCCAACACTCTTCTGGAGTCCGGAGCATTGGGATGTACATTAACCTCATTATGCTTTCCCTACAGGTCAACTTCCAAAAATAATATGGCCAGGATAAGAAATGTTCCCTTAGGCCGACAATTATTGTTACCGGTTAAGTTAAGACACAGACTCTTATACACCATGAGGATATATATAAAATACAGCTATTCTGTTTTAAAAAGGAAGTTTAACATAGCCTATTAAGTTATTTTATGGCTGGGGTACACTTCCATATCTGTTGGCACAAACAACAGAATGAAAATATCGATGATGTATCGATCATTTGATATATTGTTTGGTTCGTTAGGTAACGTTAACCTAGCCTAACTAACCAAACGATAGTATCGAATTAAACAATTGATTAATCAATATTACTCATTCGGTTGTTTGTGCCAACAGATATACCAATTTATTACATTGTATTTCATATGGAAGTGTACCCTATGGCTGGACGTAGGTGTAGGCTAGGTCTGAGATTCAATAGGCTTAATCTAAAAAGATTTAGGTAGGCTGATTGGTCTATGGAATTCAATAGAAGTTGAAGTATCTTAGATATCCATCATAAACAATACTTCAAAATGACATGTATAAAAACCACAAACTGAAATAATAATAGCTTAATTGATTAAAATACATCTCTAATCACCTTGAAGTAACCTAAGAAAAATAACTTAGATTTATGTACACTACCTGTCATGTATCCAGTCTTCTAGGTTCCTTAAAGATTTCTTGTACAATATCTTCACTTTATCGTTAAAATTTAGATATCTATAAGGAATAGTTATTGCTTTTGACATATTTAACAACTATAATGAATATTATTACAAGTAACTAAACAGGCAAGAGAGAAACAAGACGGACGACGACGGTCGACAGCTACTGAAAGATGAAAACATTGCAGTTGCAGACAGAACAGAATAAAAATGTATTGCTATTATGTATAGCAGGGTTTTATGCTATGCAGTTTTAAACCCATTTTATGAGTTTCAGCTATGTTTTGTTTCACACATAAATATACTCATATCATTTAAGCATTGAGAGCAAGACATTTTATTGAAATTACTGAACAAAACACTAAAATACCGGTAGTATGTGTCAAGACAATATTCCTGATTCCTAATGAAATCAAATAATGGAATATTTATTCTCTTTACTTAGTTTATCGACATCTAGTGGAGTTATTTTATTTCAAAACAACTTTAATAAAACAATTTTACAGTTCTTCTGTTTACCTTCCTTCTTTTAAATATAAATATTTTCCCAGTCAAATGAATCTCCATTTTAAAACATGTATCTATTAAATTAACATGGGGATTTTTAATTTACAACTTTTGTTATCATCTTCGTGACAATTGGGCATACAACAACGCTTCAGTATACAAAATTATTGCTTTTTTAAGCTCAACAGATTTGGTTTGGAATGAAATAATGCGTTTTTAGGATCGAAAATGGGAAAAAATCAATTTTTACCCCATAAACCCCCCTATATACCCCCGTTCCCATAGTCCGATTCTGGTTCACGAAAATGTTTGAATAAGCGTAGATTTACACGTTTGTAGCAAATTTCATCAAAATTGGACAATTTCTTCGGGAGTTATCGCGCTTATGGACACACACACGATTTACCATTATCCAGAAACTAGGCAGAGGCCAGTTTTTTTACAAAGGTGTTCAATGTGTTGCTGCCAGGACAATTTTTTAATTGTTATTGTTGATACAAATTTGTCCTGGCAGCAACACATTGAACACCTGTGTACAAAACTGGCCTCTACTCTGCCCACTATGGCATCAAACTTATTCGTTCCATAACTGACTAAGAAAAAACCTCCAGAATAGCCTACTTTCTCACTCTTTGCTTCTCATCTGAGTTACGGAATTGCAAAACATGGGGATCGATCATTATCCACAAACAAATATGGACAAACTACTCATCTTTCAAAAGAAAGTGCTACGAATGATATGCAGGACACACTACATCTAGAACATTGTAGACCCCTATCCATCCAGCTCAAAATCCCCACCGTTTTCTCACAATATATCGTAGAAACCACTATCCTAGCCAAAAAATCAAATCCAACACTCCAGTCAAAATATCATAATATAATCACAACAACAAACAAAAACACAAAAAACAATATTAACCTGCCACAACACAGACTAAACAAGTTCAGCAGCACCCCAACATACACAGGATCTAAATACATAAATCTCCTGCCAGACAAAATTCAAAATATTCCAAATCATGCCACATTTGTAAAAACACTAAAAAACTACCTTATAAACATACCATACTAATCAACAAAGGAATATACATACAAGGACACACTTAAGCACGGGTCACACTAGGCTGGCATCAGCGGCGAATTGAAAGAAGCCGCGACTGTCAGCTTAATGTGACCACAAAAAAAATTCGCAGCTGACACTGAGCTGACACAGCCTAGTTTGGTGAGCTGGTGATGCTGGTGCCAGCTGCTGATCACCATCGGCTGACGAGTAGCCTAGTGTGACCCGTGCTTTACACACCTACATTGGGCTAGCTGAAAGGCTGCCAAGAGGATGAAGAAAGAAGAAGGAGAAATTTTGACGACTCCCCGATCTGAGGATTGTGGCGAAGAAAGAAGATGTAAAAGGTAAAAAGGTAACACACACACATATATATGAATTTGAACGGAGGGTGTTTTTGTGCTCTGGGGACCTCAACTCAAAAAAGGACTGTAAATCGGTCCCGGGGCTAGACTTACCATGAGACCTATGGACATGATAATTAAATACTGTAGCTTATTTCCTATGTGGGAAATTCGCTAAAAAGTTTTCTACTGCTTTAGTCTTATCACAAAATTTACGTGGTTTGAGAGAAAGTTCCCCCACTACTGGCACTACTTTTTTTATTAATAGTATACTTATAGCATCTGATTGAAGTTTTAGCAAACCTCAGCTGTTGAGCTTTTATTTTAAAGGTAGGTTCAAGTGGGAGGGGATAGATTTCTTCCCCTGAAACCGCCTAAATTTTTTAAATGGAGTATGATTTACAAAGACTGTAACTCTTGTCAAAAATACTTGGACGCTGTAAAAATCTTAATTTATAATTTTCATTTTGAGCTTTTGTTTTGGTTTAAAGACAGGTCTTTAAAAAGAAAGATAATATAAACAAATAAACATAATATTGGAACAATTTGTATAGTGAAATTTGTGTGCAGAAGTTAAATGTGTCGGGATTGGTATAAAACAAAATTGCAAGAGTGTGCTGGACTACCAAACATTGAATAATATTGAAATAATATTGCTTTAACACCTTATGGATTTAAGAATCTATATTGATATGTTGCAATAACAATTTTTGAATTCCAAAAATATTCTCTACATGATTTAAACTTACAGGGGAACAAATGGAAAAAAATAAGAAACACCACTGAAAAACTCAATTCACCCCTTATGTGTGGAATATTCCCCTCACTGACTGGTCTTATTAAATTGCTGACATTTAAAATCCCAAATTTCCATCATTGTATTTTTAAGTTGTTTTTTGAAGTTATCATGATGATGTATTAACTACTCCAACCCATTTTCTTTATACTATTTTCTTTATTTTCTTTTTTGTTGATCACATGTAAAATGCTTTGTTTATTTGTTAAATAGTTTGTAAACAGCTCCTCTAGTACCTATATTTGCAGTGTAATTATATTTCCAGTGACATATATTTCCAGTGGATTGATGTTTATGAGTTATGTGCCCGTTCTACGTACGGGAATCTTGCTGTAGTAAGTTGAAACCTTATATTTAGAACAGGAGCCGGTTTGCATATTTAGTGTGCATTTTTCCAGATATGCTGGCAAAACTATTACCGTATAGGAATATATATAAACCTTCACAAATACATTATCTGACAGTTTCAAAGCCAAAACGAATGCTTCGCAATTAAATGTCACCCGATCGTGTTAGTCCATATTTTATATCTAATGACAAAAGGAATTGCTTTATTGATCTATGAGGCATAGCCCTAAGGTAGGCCTGTAATTGAAAGTTATTTTTCACACTGGTTAAAAGTAGTTAAAATACTACCTCAACCTCACTACTGCACACTTTATTCGGGTTGAAATTTTCTTTAACAAAGGTACTCTTGTCTTTTCCACGAAACACTGATAAATGAGGACATTACCTAATGCGTTACCAACAAACATACACACACACACAAATACAGAATTGAATAAGGGGATTTGCTACGCTTTAACAGAAGCAAATTACAAACAAAATAATTGTTTGAAAGTTTTATAAGTGTCATCAAATTTTATGATAATCGTTTTTAGGCCTAATCAAACTGTAAAATTGGTGTTAATCCGTTGGAAAATATATAAATAAATAAATACACAGGCCACAAAACATGTAACATGTAACGTTAACAACGTAAACAAATTTTGAAAATCAAAAGTTATTTCCCATTAATAGTATTATTTTTAAGCAACTTTTAATGTTAACATATTAATGACAGTTTGAAGAAACCGCCTTTATCCAAACAAAGGTTTCTTATTCAAAAGATTACGTACTCTCTAAACGATAATCAGTATACATATATCTAGCAAACATTCAGAGGAAATGTGACAAAAAACGCACAAATCTGGGGTTTTGGACGTTTGTAGTTTTACTTCCTAAGTAGAAAAAGTACCGATATCGTTGTTGAAATGGGTAAGTAGAAACCAAAAGTGACACATTGAAAAAGCGAGTTTCCTCTGTTACGATCACAGCGAAATCAGAAAGATCTTCCAAGATCGCAGCAACATCCACGATCACCCACTGCAGTTGTGATTATTACTTTGCACTTAACACAACTGTCCTTGAAGCGCCGTCAATGAGTGGAAACCTTTTTTGTAACTGTAAGCTATGGTGACGATGATTAATAAAATGTAAGTTTCCCAGCACTAATACAACACAGATTCACGGCATTCACGGTATTTACCCCGGTTATCAAAACTCAAGAACAATCGTTGCACTTGCGATTAATTAAACCGGTTAAGTAAAGCACAACGTTTTTAATCTCACTTGGTTTGGATGTGCTAACAAAACTTGATCGGAAATGGTTGCGGTATTTGTAAACAAATTTTAATGTAAACATATCAGTGACAGCTAGAAGTGAGAACTACTCCAAACAGCTGATCGTTATATTTCATAAAATGTAATAGTAAACATTGGGAGAAAATTTAACAAAAATCGAACAAAATTGGTTTTTCCTACAGTCACCCGACAAAGTTGGCTTCCCTGTACTGTTTATAGTACAGAAAGCTGCTAATTGCTGCATATTTATACTTTGCCGTACGGTTTATACTTTGCCGCACGGTTTATACTTTGCCGCACATCAGGATTCCAACCAAACAACACAAAACAGCGTGGTTTTATTATGCACGTAATCCGTGTACGCTTGGAAATAGGTTGGCAACACTTAAAGATAATAATACTATGAACAGCTGATTGACTATTATAACTACGATTTAACCTGTCATTTCGTGTTTATAGTTTTGGTATTTCTGAACTTTCTGGACTTTTCTTTTAAACGTTTTTAAAACATTCCTACGGTCTTAATAAACAAGAAAATACCTTTAAAGCATTTTTTTAGGCGCGGAAACCACTTCAAATTACAAAAACATACGGAACTATATTCTCAAAAGACGGAGCACATTTCTTGCCGAGGAAAAATAGCGGAGTGATACGGACCACGGGTACTACTTTCTCCAGGGCACCATTTGTGTAATTGTGTTGCTACCTGAATCTAAAAACGTGTTGTATAGTGTTTGAAAGACTAATTATTTATGTTTTATAGTGACTGTAGGAAAAATATAATGTGTAACACCAGGGCCGGACTTACGACTTCAGGGGCCCCGGGCAAATTTTCCAATGGGGCCCTAGGATTTCAGTTCAGGGGGGGGGTCCTCCAGTGGGATTAGGGGGTCCTCCCCCGGGAAAATTTTCTAAATTTAGGCTTCAAATAGAGCAATTTAAGGCCAAATAAGCAATAAGTTCTATATAAAAAAATTTCTTAAAATATAACTATTTTAACATATTTTTATATACAGCATATTTTAATTTTATACACAAAAATAAAAATGTATTGACGGCATATTTGGTATGGTATCATGGTAGGCTACCATAATATATTTGGATAAGAAGTATTGATATATTTTTGTTTATTACGTATTTAAATTATCGATTATTGCCGTCGATTTGTATGGTTTTTCAATATTACTACAATATAGGTGTGATTATTTTATTTTCATAATGGTTTTGGTACCTATGACATTCTCGTTTTTATAATATGTTAAAGTCCTAGCATGAAAAGTACCATTGGGGACTTTCAAGTTTGAGTTTTTTTATTGAGGAGCAAAATCTTGCAATGTCTAATAAACACTCACAAGCTAAGTATTTATATGAGTAACTGAAAGATGTTTAAATGGATCCAATATCGATTAATACAACACAAACATAGCATTGAATACAACATTACTCACTTCAGCTTTGTTTTTGTACTGTTAGTTTGCAGAATTACAATAAAATAACACAAAAGTAAGACAATTTCAACCAACTTGACGTGACCACTAGTCTCAAAGGACAAACTATGGGAGTAAAGTGATTTAAATTGTTTTGGATAGGCGATAAGGCATTTTATGTGTGTGAATGCGTGTGCGTGAGAGTCAGGACTAGACAGGATCCCTTATCAGCTCATTATCATTGATTGTTGCAGCTGCTTCTGCTTATCGCTTGTTTACGATTTCAGTCGACAACGCTCGCCCACTCCCAATAAATGTAATTTTTTGTCAACATCAGACGACTCTAGTTGTTTTAAAGTGTCTATATAGATTTTAAAAATCTTACTGTTGCTACATTATATGATTTTGACTCCAAAGACGTAATTGGAGATCAAAATTTGGACGCATAACTTAATTAATTACTATTTTACAAAACCTTTCAATTGAACGGATAATATACTTCTACCCCTTAAAATCCTGATTGGTATATACTTAGAGGTAAAAGAAAAGAATAACATTAAATAAAACATAAACGGAGCAATGTTTTTATTTTTAAAAGTATTTGAACTCCAGTGAATCTCCATTTAACACAATACAATTTTACAAGTTACGTTCTACGTTGGGACTAGAGTTTTCATATTTATTGTACTTTTGCCCCAAGCGCGGGACCCCCTTCAACCCATTCGCCGCGGCCGTACGTTCGGGCGAGCGGCTTCATTGAAACTGAAACTTGTCCGTCACAGCCTATCACATGCTCAGCTCATGTAAACCAGGCCTAAGCGTGGGGCCCAGTGCAACTCTGAGAAAAAGTCCCTTAGGGTCAAGAATCTCATTCCTAGTAATGCCTTAAAATGCACCTAACAATAACCTTAAACATAGGATAGCGAAAATAAAAATAAAGCTGTTACAAAAAAAGGCCATTTGTTAAGTGTCTGATCAATTTTCGAAGTTAATGATAAAAACTAATGTACAAAGGGGGCCCCTGGCGGGGCCCCCCTTGGCCCGGGGGCCCCGGGCGTTCGCCCCCTTCGCCCATAGGTAAGTCCGGCCCTGTGTAACACGAGTGAAAAAGGCCTTTGCTGCACTCGAGATCATTCCGCACTCGCCTGCGGCTCGTGCGTAAACATTGCTCTCGTGTGCAGCAAAGTGCCACTTTCACCACTAGTTACACAAATAACTATTTTGATGGTTCGTTATTTTGTTTTCAAAGAAGCGAGGCCATGTTAATATAGCCAAAGACACTTTCACCAATCCAGTAAATACATAAAAATGATTAGAACCTTGGCATAATCGGACCATGGGAACAGGGGTTTATGGGGGGTTTTATGGGGTGAAAATGGGTTTTCCCATTTTTGACCCTAAAAACAAAACAATTTGCAATTTCTTTCTAAACCGTTTTAAAAATAATTTAGTATATTGAAGCGATGTTGTATTGTATGCCTAACTGTCACGGAGAAAATTCAAAAATAGTGTAATTTAAAATTCCCATGTTATTCTTATGGAGAAAATGAAAATTGTTGTACTTTACTTGTTTATGGATATATATTGATAACATTATGCAAATTTATTTATTTCATCCTATACTGACGTATGGTCAAAAAACACTTTTTACCTTCCCCGTAGCAGCAAACCTAAGCACTCGTTAAATCTAATGTTATTTAAATAGGGAATAAATAACCTATGTCTTATTTATGGAAATATAATCAGACAAGTTGAAATTCGCTTAGTCTGCAGGTTTGCGTGGTATTATTTATATAGAAGATAACCCTATTACTACAATAGTTTTATAATTATTTATTTTACAGAATGATTGGTTTTGTCAGTGTGACACACTTTTTTTTTTTTTTTTTTTGTAAATACAAAGTAAATGAAGTGTGATGATGCATATATTTATAAGAGGTTCCAAGTCTAAAAATTAGCTACCCAAAGAATTAGGTATTTTAAGTTTTTTTGAAAATAACCATGTTTTAGCGAATTTCCCTATAGGGAAGTAGCTATTACCGTAGGTCTCATGGTAAGACCTAGGCCCGGGACCGATTTACTTTTTCATTTTGATGTCCCCAGAGGCCAAAAACACCATTCGTTCAAATTTTTATATATCTATATATAGATATATATATATATATATATATATATATATATATATATATATATATGTGTCCATCCGCACGATAACTTGAGTAATTTTTGTCCGATTTTGATAAAATTTGGTTTGAAGGTGTAAGGCGGGATAAACTCGAACGAGTTCGCGAACCAGCATGATCGGACTATGGGAACGGGGGTTTACGGGGGGTTTTATGGGGTAAAAATAGGTTTTTCCCATTTTTGACCCAAAAAAAATAAAATTTTGCAAAATCTTTTCAAACCATTTTGTAGAGCTTAAAAAAACAAATAATTTAGTATATTGAAGTGTTACTATGCGCCTAATGGTTACGGAGAAAATTCCAAAAAAATGTAAATTTTAAATTCCCATGTTATTCTTATGGAGAATGAGTAAACTGTTGTAGTTTGCTTGTTTATGAACATATTTTGATCAAATTTGGAAAATGTTTTTATTTCTTACTAACTATTAACATTTTACAAAAAAAGTTTTACCCTCCCTGATGCAGCAAACCTAAGTACCTGTTAAAATAATTCTATTTAAATAGGAAATAAATGTTAAATTTTTAAGTAGACATTTTAGTGTAAATCCAATCAGACATATGGAAATTCGCTTAGTCTGCAGGTTTGCTGCGGCGGGGGTATTTAAACTTATAATACAGCAATTTCTCAATTACCTGTAAATGGATTTAAGTAGATAATGTCATTCGTGTAAATTTTGAATAAGAATAATAGAAAATGACAGAGGTTCAGTAGTAAAAACTCCATTGTAAATAGATTCAAAGATAAAAATTAAGATGTTTGATAAAAAAAGTATTGGTCTATTGCATTTTTCTACACCCTGTATACAAGAAGGGTGCCGAATATGAAAAACTGCGCCATTTTTAAGGCTTTCCAACCATATGCTTGAATTTATATTTATATATTTGATTTACCTACCGTAATGTTATGTGTGCTTTTTGAAAAGTTTAGTGTTCAGGTATTTTAAGTCAAATCAATTGGTCTATATGTTTTTTATGGTAGAAAAGTCAAAATGGGAAAATTTGTTTTAAGAATGCCAAAGATTTAAGAATATAAATAATGGATTGAAAAGTAAGAATTGTTGAATAATTGGAAAAAGTATAGGCACACATCTGCATGACTGATAAAAACAGATTTTTAAAATAGTGTAATTTAAAATTAAAATAGCTATTACTTCTATATATGAGGAAAAGATTGTGGTATGTTAGTATTGTTCACTTTGTACCTGTAACTCAACTTACACAATAATTTGAGAGCCACTCAATGATAAAGAGACATGATTCACCATGTTAACAGGCAAAAATGTCTGTTGACACATGGGCTTCTGCTTAAATTGACTAAGCAGTTCATGAATAGAGGTACCATTCAAATTCAAAAACTTAACTTTTAACCATAAAGAAACAAAAGTGTTGCTAACAAAGTTATCAAGCTTTGAACTTATTCAAACAAAGTTGTATGGTGCATACACTTTTGGTGTGTATTATTTGTTTTCTCTTCCAATATGTAAACATATTTCAATGAACTTTCTGGTTTCTCACTCATGACCCATATTTCAAAGTTTTATGATTAAAATTTGCTTATACAGTGACTCATAGAAAAATAATTTGATAAACTATAATGTCTAAATTTGAAAAAAATATAGTCTAACTATGCATTTATATACCGTAATGTAAAAATACTCTGTCTGTTTCCGCAATAAAATTACCGTACTAATACAATAAGTAAAATTATTTTCAAATTATCGTCAAATTTAATTGTTGTTCAACAATATTTGACACTTGCTGTAAAAAAACACTAGCGAATTTGCGGGCAAAATTTAATTAGTAGTTAAAAATCATTCAATTCCAATTGAATTGGGAAATCAACTTTGAATTGAAATAGAATTTGCGAATTGTGATATTGACACATTCCATTGTTAAAAGTAGTTCCTTTATCTAAAGCTTACGAATTTTTCGAGGAGCTATAAAACCACTTAGAGGGAATCAGTTTGTTTTTGAATAACTATATAATTGTTTTTAAGTTGACTTGCACCGTATAACAAGCTATAAGAGCACTGAACCAAGTAATATTGCGTAGGGATATCAGCGTTGACATCAAATTGTGCAAGGCTACACAGTACACAGACAGAACGAGTTTACCTCGACAGCAGCGCCCCCTTCGTTCGGTCCTTTCAGATTTGAACCTAGCATGGTGGTAGTCTGCTCTATTACAGTGTCTTAAATAGTGGTCAATTTCCTTGGAATTGTCGATTTTTCTCTCTGAAAGTGGCTAAATACCCTCCACCATTCCGCAATTAATTAAAAGCCAGCCGAAAGGGTGGCTTTCGTCCAGTAAGGTAAGCGACATTTTCCTACTTTGTTGAGCTAGGTATAACCATAACCTTATCGGTCGGTGGTGATGTTGCAGATAAAATTACTATCAGCTCTTATCTCCCATAAGGGTCGACACTTTACCTTATTTTAAATAGTTATTCGTTATTTCATAATTTACATTTGATATCTTTCATTGATGATAGTTAATCCTATTAGTTTAGGCTCCTAAATTATGTTTTATTTCCCAGTTGAACCCTAATGATGATGGTGACTAAGTTAATGATATCACCCACCAGCTTTTAGACCTAAAATGTGTCAACTACTTTAATACTAGGCCTACTTGTTGGTTAAATACTCCAATTTATTTGAAGAATATCTTATTGCGTTTGACACATGTTTGTGATGAACTTTGCCAGAGCCTTATACAAATTAATTATAACTTATTTATCCCCACCTAAGTTGAGGCTAGTTGGCTAGTTTACTATAAAAGGATTGGCCTAGGTCCCTATCTCGTTTGCTGTTAACATTTTTATATTTTCACCCTGCAATCATAAGTTATGTACATCAAACAAATCTGACTTATGACCTTAAGTTAAGTTATGCCTTATAAACTGTTGTATGAGTTTAAAAGACAAGACCTAAAAAGGCTAAAGAGCTTAGCTATCCTAAGTTAACTTACCACTGATTACAAGTAACCTAGCCAACCATAAGTTAGCATATAGAGATTTAATACTTGAACTTTGCATTCATTTTTATTAAATCCAAAACATCCATTTGTTACTTAGACTGGGTCTGTTTTAAAATTTAATCTTGTTAACTTGTACTTGTGCGAGCATTTCCCAACATGTTGGAAAGTAACTCGAACGGCAAAATGTCATTCGTGCTCGCATTCCACTACTAAGTTAGCATGCGAGTAAATTTGTGGTTGACACTTGTTCGAGCACGAACGCGAGCAGAACTGGAATGCGAGCTTGAATTAATGTAAACGCACCTTTAAGTTAGGCAGTGTTTCCATATGGAAGATTTTTATCCTGAAAAACAGGGGTTAGACCAGGATCAAAACGGGATGAAACAAAATTGTAGGTTCTGATGCCCAATCTTCTGATACCCTCCCCTCCCTGTAGCAGAAAACCTAGGTACTTGTTAAACCTAATGTTATTGAAATAAATTTAATTGAAAATCAAATCAGGCAATTGGAAATTGGAAAAAGGTTTGCTGTGGCGGTGGTATTAATACCTTTCATTGAAATGGTGACCATACGAAAGTAGGTATTTTTTGAGCTAAGTATGAATGGAGATGAGTGTAGGATGAGTGGCCCGATCTTGTAGTCTTGTTAGTACCTAAGGCCGATATATTCCTTAGAAACAGCTGTTAATTAATAGCCATACAGCTAACGGCAATGTGTAGCCTATACTGAGTTAAGTGCACTTTAGCAGATATGGATATAGGCAGAATCGCAGCTCAGTGACGTCATCTTTTTTCCATCGTCCTCTGGTATATCTGAGCATTTTGAGTCTCTATATTGTACAAAAAGTTAATATAAGCGAATATGAGGTACACCATGTTGTTCTCAACAATGTGACGATGTGTGAGACATGTATGGAGAATGTTTTCTCATTTGCAAAACGTTTCTTCCGATACCACTGATTGTGTGCATTCATTTGTAGGCTAGAAAGTGAGGCCTACATGACGTAAATATAAAAAAATAGATGCCTTTGCGTGAATTTTTCATTTTATAGTTTTTTTACTTCCTGAATCCAAATACAGTAGACTCCCTCTTATCCGGACTCCTCGGGACCGTGGCCAGTCCTGATAACGGGTTTTCCGGTTAAACCAATGTTCCCAAAAACTTGTTTAAACGGAACGTTTAAATGCATAATGTATACAGTTTATTTGACTTAAATTTAGGAAAGCATTGTATACACGTGATTGCTGGTCTCAAATCTTTCCCACGACAACAGTCGTTTCAGTACCGCCCACTTCCTGCCAATCTGGTCCGGTTAAATCGATGTGCTGGTAAAAATTGTCCGGTTAAAGAGATGTCATTTCTGCCGAGTGTAGTCCGGTTAAACCGATGTCCGGTTAAAAGGTGTCCGGATTAGAGGGAGTCTACTGTATACCATAATTTTTAACGCAAATTCAAATATTAGTAGGTGATATCACTGTTCAAATATACATTTCTCGGAGGTCTGTCATCGACAGTAGGCCTAACGTCACTTTACTTAACTGTACTGAGGTGAAGGCAGTAAAATATGAGATGAAGATTAATACCCCTGCCGCAGCAAACCTGCAGACTTATCGAATTTCTATTTGCCTGATTGGATTTACACTAAAATGTCTCCTTAAAAATATCACATCTATTCCCTATTTAAATAACATTAGTTTAACGAGTACTTGCAGCAACAGGGAGGGTAAAAAGGTGTTTTTTTGTAAAATGTTAATAGTTTAGTATGAAATAAATGTATTTTCCAAATTTGATCAAAATATGTTCATAAACAAGCAACCTACAACAGTTTACATATTCTCCATAAGAATAACATGGGAATTTTAAATTTACAGTTCTTTGGAATTTTCTCCGTTAACCATTAGGCGCATAATAACGCTTCATTCTACTAAATTATTTGTTTTTTTAAGCTCTCTACAAAATGGTTTGGAAAGAAAATCCTAAATTTTAAGTTTTTAGGGTCAAAAATGGGAAAACCCCATTTTTATTCCATAAAACCCCCCTTAAACCCCTGTTCCCATAGTCCGATCATGCTGGTTCGCGAACTCGTTTGAATAAACGTAGGTTTACACGTTTGTACCAAATTTCATCAAAATCGGATGATTTTTTTTTAGTTAGGCTATCGCGCTAACGGACACATATAGGTATATGGACGGATATATATGGTGTTTTTGGCCTTTAGGGACCTCAAAACGAAAAAGTAAATCGGTCCCGGGTCCAGGTCTTACCATGAGTACTACGGTAATAGCTTATTCCCTATATGGGAAATTCGCTAAAAATATGTTTGATAAAAAATAGAAAATTATCGTTGATTTTCAAAACACCACTAAGTGATTCTTTAGTTAATAATGTTTCCAGGTACAGAATTTTGGATGGGGATATATGTAATGGGGGACTATTTGAACTTAGTCCTTATTTAGGCATGTGGTGGTAGCCTAGATCGTTCTTTCCGAATTCAGGGCTGTATTAAGTGTTGTTGGATTAGAAAGGTTAAGTTTAAGTTAGCTTATAACTTGTAATGAACCGAGTTTTTAGTTTATATCTCCATACTGTTTTTGTACAATTAAAACACTAAAAAATACTATTTTAAAAATTGAAAAGTGGTTAATACTACTCATGTAAAGTGTAATGTGTTACTTTATAACAGATAAACATAATTCGGTTCCAAGTTCAGGACGTGGACTTCATGTGATAACATTGCCTTTTATCTCATTCTTCGTGCGTCATAAAATCACACTGTGAGAAGCTGACTCATTCAGTAATCCGCTCCTTAACTTTGCTCCAAATAACGTTTTGTGTGATTTTAAAAACTTAGAATTGAGTTTTGTTTAAAAAACTTAAATCCTTTAATTATGTATTATTAGCCTAATATAAGAGCTTCTAGATCAACAATCTTTACATTTCTATTAGGGAAGTTTAAGTGATACTTGTACAAATGTGGATAAATTACCCATATTTCAGCCTGTACCCCATTACTGAAACCCCAGATTTTATCTTTTCAGTAGGCTATGTCGTTCATTAAGGCAAGTTGTAGATGTTGTGACTTGTAAGGCCTACCGTAAATGTTTTATAGGCCTACAGTGTAAAATCAGCCAAGTAAAAAAGTGTAAAGCAGTATAGTGTCTCGGCCTATTAGTTTTCCTCAGATGCCAGAAGGCGGAAGTTGAAGTAGAGAATGATACACAATCCAGCTGACCCGATAATGCGGCTTTGATTCTGAGCTCTAGACTATGAAACAGTTGGGTTACCTATTTTTCTGGTCAGTATGACTGAGGCCAACTTGGATTTAATCCTCTGTTTGCAAGCTGGACTGTTAAAGTTTCATAGTTTTTCACTGCATAAAATGTTATTCTTACCGATGCTAACTTAAGTTTTATAATAAATATTTCCAGAGTGCCATGGCGGTTAACACGAATAAGTTGGATTCCAAAGTGCGGGAATAAAATTGGTCTTCTAGAACAGTCACTGAGTCAGAACCATTTTAAACTGTTTTGTCCACTTGTAAACAATTTACACTAATTGAAGCCAATGTAAGGCATATTCACTGGGTTTTCAGATTTACAAACAAATGTCAGTGTGTTGAATAGCTGTAGTAGAATGTCCAAGTAGATTCATCATCATTTTGTGTGCTCGAGATTTTTCTTGTATCAGCTTACCAGGGATAGTGCGAGGTTTAAAATACCAAATTAGCCCTTCCAGTTTTTTCCCTTGGACACAACTACAAAGCATCTATTTAAGCCTAATTATTGAATGACTAATGAATATTTTATAATTAATTGAAAACTTTAATTATAAAAAAAATGGATGAAAATCATTTAAAGTTTATTTCCTATCCTTTTCCGTCTAAACATATTCAACTTAAGCATGTGCCTTGTTTGCATTTTTCATCATTATAAAATTATTTCATAAATAAATTTTTTTGATGAATTGCTTGAATTTCCTACAGCTTGGAATGTTCGTTTGCGGTCCTGGAGGAATTTTAGGAACAGGGTATAGATAGGTACTAACAAATCAGTAACATAAGCAAATGAGTGAATCGTGTTGTTAAAGTAACGTTTAGAAGCCTTTAAGGTGTTTGCACGTAAACTGCTTCTATCTTCAGAAAGATTTAGCTAGTCACGTGATCTGGCGTAGTAGGGCCTTGTTTAATCTTGTTATTTCCAGTTCCAATATTGTAGGTCGTTGATCGCAAACACTGACAGCTTTTGTGTCGTTCCACTTTTATAGTTTGAGAAAAGCAAAATTTTTTACTCATACAAATAAAAAAAAAATCAAATTTAGAATTGAATTAAAATTTAT